GGATAATTTCCAAAAGGGAAGTGGACAATGGTGCAGCCTTTTTCAAAATGTGCCACAGAGGTCCCCTCAACTCCCACCTCCCGTTCTCTACCTTCAGGTTGCCAGACTTAGAATAAAATGACTTATTGATCCATAGAGGGGAAGCAAAGGTGAAGACCTGTCTAGAGGATGTCCAGAATGGACAGAAAATGTTCAGTCATCAAATCAGCCCTTCAGCTTCTTTTTCTAAAGCAAATGCCTTTTGCAAATTCAATAGTGACTCTGGCAGGCCAGGGTGGAAGGTGCGCCTCAGAGTGAGCAGCCCTCAGTGGACCCAGGAGTCCATAAGGGGAAAGAGCAGCCTCTTTGTGGACCAGATGCTACTACTCCCCCTCCCACTCCTAGCTGCCACCTCAGCTGGAGTCAGGGCGGTCCACTGTGTCCACAGGACAGATGTAAACATGGAAGGTCTGGGTGGGAATATTAGCAAGTTGTAAAGACAAGTGGCTGACATGGGCGGTTGTCAGCCTGGCCGCCTTGGATCTGCTAGTAATTATCACAGATTATGTAACTGTCCTTATTAAGGAACGCTGGCCAGTGGCAGGGCAGGCTGGACTCAGAGAGGCAGGCTGGAATTGTGGCTCTGAGGCTCTCTAACCTGTGCCTTTGGGGAAATCCCTTCTCATCTCAGAGCCTAGGTTTCCTGTCTGTGTGACAGGAATGTTATGCCCTCCCTTGAAGAACTTGTGTTCCACCCGAATAAGGACCTTTTAAAAAAAAAGGGCCAACACAGTCCGCAGTATCAGAAAGGCAGTCCCCACATGTTTACTCTGCCAGCTCATGTTAAACAACTGAATGTCTGCGAAAATTCTGTGGTGGGAGTGGGAACATGAATGGTTCTTGGCTAGGACAAGTTAATACTAGCAGGGAGAGGTTCCCAGGTGCCAAATTCCCTGTTGGTCCCAAGAACATCAACATCAAAAGGGACCCACCTCATCACCCATTGGCACCCAATCACTTGATAGTGAGGCCAAGGCTAATCAGGGGCCTCAGATTCACCCACCACTTTTCAACAGAGCCATCTCATGTCCCTGCCTCTAACCCATTCCCCAGAATTCCAAACAGCCCTCCACAGTCCTTCACCATTGCCCCATCTACCCATATGTACCTTGGGTGTTTGGGAACAGGAAATATTCTGTGATGGGACAGAAAAGAGGGTACTTCTGTGTGTGTCCATTGGAATACTCCAATGTGCTGGTGTTCTGCCCAGACTCTGAAACTTCAGAGAAGTAGGGGCGATCAGGCTGGAAGAGTCCTTTAAAGGACATCTGAATCATGGAAACAGCGCTAGGGTGCACACCAGACACCACTCAGATCCGAGTCAGCATCTTCTCACACCTGCATTATTCCTCTAGCCTCCTTACTGGCCTCCCTGCTTCCATCTGTCCCCTTACAGTCTGCATTCAATACAGCAGCTTTTGATCCTGTTAAAACAAAAGTCAGCTCATGTCACTTTTCTACTTAAAACCCATTGGTCTCTATTTCACTGAGTAAAATGCAACGTTTTTAACACAATCCATAAACCTGGTCCTTTTTTAAAGGTGGAACTCCTACATTCTCTCCTTTGATCACTCCACTCTCACCAGACTGGCCACCAGGTATTCTTCCAAACACACTCTTGCCCCAGGGCCTTTGCACCCACTAGAACACTTTTATTTTTTTTTTTTTTAAGATTTACTTATTGATACATACAAGAACCGGGCCAGAGTTTTGGCGGGGATGAGAGGATTCACCAGAGACATAGTAGGGAACAGAACAGGCAGATCAACTGAAATACACTGCTGAAGGGAGCAGTGGGCGAGTCAGGAGAGGTCTGCTGCACCATGTGGGTCACCTCCCTGGCCGGGGATCAAACTCGTGCTGCAGTGGCTGCAGTGAGCTTCATAGGTTGCATCTTAATCCCTTGCACCACCAGGGAGGCCCCACACACTAGAACACTCTTCCTCCAGACAATTACATGGCCCACTTACCCACTCCAAGTCTTTGCTTATATGTTACCTCACTTAAATTGTAATGTCTCTCCTCATCCTGCCAGGACTCTCAATATCCTATATTTTGCTCTACCCCCCACCCCAGAACACTTCTCATAATGAAATACTCTAAATCTACTTACTATGCTTATTACTTGCCCCCACCTTGAAAGTAAGTTCACAGGGCAAGTGCTCCGAACATACTGGTTGAATGAAAGAGAAATGGAGCCAACCCTGCCTTCACGTAACTTCTTCACTGAGTCCTGAGTCTGCATTCTGCAGTATGCAGACCTCCATCTTCAAGACAGTTCTCCCAAACTAATCTCTTAAGTGAGGGTTCCACACTTTTCTTCAACTGCTCTATCTCAAGATGTAACTGTATTTGCATCCTCTTAAAAAGGTAGAGTTCAGACTTGAGCCAGGTGAAAGTATTTGGAGGTGGACAGAGGGAAAACAGGAAAATTTGGGGAAAGAAGAAGCAAGAAAAAAAAATCCAAGCAAGAGGGACCTATGGAATTTCTTCCGTACAGACCATCTGTACAGACATTGGACCACTCCACTGAGAATCCCCTATTTCTCCTACTTCCTCCATCAAGCATTTTAACTGGCATCTGCTTTCTAGAAATCTGGCAAGTCTACCTATGTGAACACCAGATAGATCCAGGGCAAGGACAGGTGACCTGGCAGGTGGGGGAGGGGGTTGCGAGCAGGACACCCCATTAAAGACTCAGCAGGGAGCAGTTGCCATTATTTCTGGTTCTCATCCCACAGATCAGCAGGGAGGCCAGTCCACAGCAGGAGTACATGGTTGGGGGAGAAATAAAGCAGCACTGGAGTTGGGGCATAATCTGGGCATAGAAGATTGAAAATAGCCTGCCAGGGCTAGATATGGTGACCTTTGAGTTGAGGAAGTGCAATGGACAGCAGGGGACTAAGGAGAATCATGGGGGCCTGAGACCATTAGGTAGTTCAGTCAGTTGCCCCTCTCCTTTCTGCTTAAATCTGGTGGACGTGACTCTGGGATGGCTTTGCCCATGGCATTCACTCCACATTTCTAAACCTCATTTCAACAGGAAGTGGGCATTTTGGTTAAGCCAAAGTCTAGTAAGTTGGAGAGACCAACATGTCACAGAAGCCTGGGAGTATTAAATAATATTTATAAGAGGATGACATGGGGAAATAATTATGGATGTTAAGAGGCAATCAGCAGCGGGGAACTCCTCCACTGCTCAAGTGGCGAGAAATTACGAGGGGGGGGGGGCGTGGGATTCAAGAGCAGCACGGCTGTCATGGGGACTGCGAAGGGGTTGGGAAGTCACCACCACTGCTAAATCTGTTAATAGGATAAAGCAGCCTTGCAAGTAAGAGCCAGACCCCAGGAGGCCTGCATTTGAGGGGATTTTAAAATCAGGCCAGATCTTGCCAATAGCATCACTTTTAGATGTTAGAACTGGAAGGGAGCTTAGAGATCAGCAATGCCACTGGTTCTCAGTGTGGAAGGTTTCTGCCTTCCAAAACTACAGCAAGCATTAAGTAATAATTGATTTGTTTTCATTTTTTGTTCATCAAAGACACATAGAGGACTGCCAGCTGGGACAAGCAAGCAAGAGAAGATATGAAGTCGATGTCACTCCAGCCCCCAACAAGAGACCTATTGTTTTCCTGTTGGTCCAGTCATACTATGCTGTGTAAATGTAGTTTCCCTTTTGAAGACACTTAAAATAACACAAAGGCCCACTTTTAAAGACCTGAGGGAGGCTGGAGAACCTGTACCACAAAGCCCAAATCTAAGCAAACAGTCTCATTTTGTACATAAGTAGACTGAGGCCAGGAGAATGAATGTGGCTTGCCCAGGATCACACAGCTGTCTGTCAAAACGGCTAAGGCTAGATCAGGGGAACAAGGCGAGGGGAAGGCTGTCCTGGACATTCAGGAGCAGGGGTAGAGTAATTCCCAGTCAGTAATGCAATGGCTGAGCATTGCAGACACCAAAAGATTTGGGCTTGATTCTTGTCTTCAGTTGGTACTAGCTGTGAGACCCCGGCAAAATGATGGAAGCTGAGTCCATTTTCCTATCAGTAAAACGAGGATAACAATAGCACTTAACCACATATTGTGAGGATTCAGTGAAATAACAAAGCTTTGTAAATAGTACTTTCCCTTAATCCCTTTTGTGTATGGTGGTGGTGTGGGTCTGTAGACATAAGATCAATGAGCTTAGAGAACAAGATCACATGCCCCAACCCCCAGGTGCTGTCCTGATAATGCCAGTGGAAAACAGTCTATCCCAAAGGAGCACTAATAAAAATGCTGTCACTTCTAGGTACTCAAAACTGAGGGTGCCTCAGAACACAGGCCCTATCCAGATTCATTGCTTCTGAGTGCCTGCAGGGTGGGGTCAGGGAATCTGCAGTTTTAGATATTACAATTGAGAAATAATTTACACAGCATAAAATTCACCATCTTAAAATGTACACTCAGTAGTTTTAGCATTTTAAGATTGTGCAACTATCACCACTAACTCCACAAACTTTTCATCACTCCAAAAAGAAACCCCATATCCATTCCCAGTGAATTCTCTATTCCCTACTTTCCTATCCCCTTATAACCACTCACATTTCCCTCACTATGGATTTGCTCATTTTGGACAATTCATATGAACGGAGTCATACAATACATGGTCTTTGAAACTGGTTCCTTAGCACTGTTTTCTAGGCCCATCTATGCACGTGGTAGTGTGAATAAGGACTTCATTCCTTTGGAATCTACACTTTTAACAAGCTCCAAGTAGTTCTGGACAGGTTTGGGGGAGGAAAATAGCAAATTCACACAAGCCCCTGCTTCCCACTCTTCCCCATCTCCCCCAGGCCCAGCCTCAGTGGGTGCAGGGAATGTAGTGCAAGACCCCACAGTGGATGCCTGAAAAATGTGGGTTGTACCAAACCCCATGTATGATTTTTTTTTTTAAAGATTTATTTATTTATACAAGCACTGGGTACAGTCAGAAGCGCGGGAGGGTGAGAGAATTCACCAGGGCCAGAGCGGGGAACAGAACAGGCAGACTGACAGAAATACACTGCTGAGGGGAGCAGCGGGCACGGCAAGAGGGGTCTGTCGTGCCATTTGGGACTTTTGCCGGCAGCCGGGGATCAAACCGGCGCTGCAGAGGCTGCGGGCAGCCTCACAGCCCAGGGCTCAAATGCTGCACCACCAGGGGAGGCCCTGTATGATTTTTTTATACATATACATACCTATGATAAAGTTGAATTTCTAAATTGGGCACAGATTAATAGAACAATTATAATGATACACTGCAATAAAAGTTATATGAATGTCATCGCTTTCAAAATATCCTAAGTAAAGTTTTCAGATTACAGCTGACTATGGGTAACTGAGAAGCGCAAAGTGAAATAACTGAGGGAAAGCGTAGATGGGGTGACTACTAGACAGGGTAGCATTCCTTCCTTCGGGTGTGCCTGTCTCAGCAACTCCACTGGTAACGGAGGGTAACGCTCGAAGCTTGCGTCCTCCACAGCTGGCAAAGATTGGACAGGGTTTCCTGGCACTCAGTACAGAGGAAATGTATCCACCAATAGTGGCCTGGCTGCTCTGGAAATTGAGCAGATTAACTGCAAGAGAGACTCACACAAGGGGATTTAGTCTCAACTCAAAACACTTTAATGTACATTATGCTCTTGGAAAAATATCTCCAAGGAAACAAGTGGATCCTTAAGTCTTAACCAGCAGGAATTCTTCTTCCAAAACCTGGAAAGGAAACAGTCTTGGAAAGAAAGGGCAAAGGGAATCTGACCACAGTACAGTACAAGGTCAGGGTAGCAGGGCCTGTGTGCACAAAGGGAATGCTCTGACGACTCCCAGACAACCAGTGTGTCATTACTTCAGTGGCTGATGTCTCTAGAGCACAATGGGGAGAATCTAGACTAGCCAGGTCATCTCTAGAGCTTGCAAGAAGAGGCATAGAGCAAGGACCTTTCCTTTTGTTGTTGAACCCCCAGGTCATCAGAAATAGTCACGGTGGTTCTAGTGAGGACTGGGGCCACAAGGTAGGTCGCCAAGTCCCACATCTGGGTTTGGGCCTCAGAATGGAACGCATGGGAAGGGAGTGGCACCTGCTAGGACTCTGAGCTCAGGGACCACAGAAATCTTGGAAGATTGCCCACAGGGACCTTTGGACAGGGAAATGGGACTTAGATGGAGAAAGTAAGAATCAAGACTCAAACACTTTCAGTGTTACACCCTTCCCAATTTGGGGCTCCTGGAAAAACATGGCCAAATTTTCTGTGACATATATCCACTCAACAAGGGGCAGGCAGAAATTCTGGCTCATTCCCTGTTAGCCTTCGAAACTTCTCTTCAAAACAGTCACCAACTGACATCTCAGACTTGTGGGGCAGTCCAGGGTTTCTTGTTTTCTAATCATACTCTGTAGTAAGCAAATCTGTTTTCCATGGCTTTGGTTGTTCTTTTTTCTCTTTCAGAAGCAAGTAGATAGCTGCTAAGGCAGGTCTCTCCCAGGAGCTTCGGAAGAGCCCATTTGGAATCCAGTAAGGTTAGCACCAAGTCCAGGTTGACTGGAACCCACGAAAGTGCCTTCAGGGTGAATACAGCTTCTTTGGCACTAATGGAACTTACTTATTACTACGGGAAGGATTTCTGGCTGGCTCCATCTTTGTAGAATCTGGTAGGACTGCTGCTCCGGCAAGTTCCTGTAGGAAGGGGTGATAGAGAGGCCAGGACTGCGACCATGTGGGAAGGAGTCTCCCAGGGCTGAGCTTTCCCAGTTAGCCGGTCTCCGCACCCTCAGGGAGCTCTACCACCACGGGGGCACAGTCCTCAGGCTCCGCCTCAAAGTCCCACCGGAACTTCTTGGTCAGGTGAGCTTGGAACTTTTCAGCTTTCTGCCTCAGAGTAGCATCCACTGCAATGCTGCAGGCAGAGGAAAAGAAAACCTACAGAGAACAGAGGATAAGTCACTCCTGAGAACACAGAGGGGGCCGAGAAAGCTGTGGAAATTTCCTCATGGCGTTCAGCTCTCTGGGGCGGGTGGATCAGCTGCTGCTGGCACAGGCCCAGGACACCTGCTGTGCTCCCCCCAAACCAAGAAGGAAGGTCCAAACCCAGCTGAGAAGCTGGGGCAGGACTAGAATGGAAAATTACTATCCTGGGCAGACATGCCCCACTGGGAGTAAGGCCAGTAGGGGGGCTATTACCCTGACCCCAACCCCTGGGGGGATCTACTGGGCACCTGGGCAATAACTCAGAGAAAGAGGTAGCAGCTCTACCAGCTGGTACTACAAAAGGCTTTGGGGGCTTATAAGCCCTTGGGTCCCATAAAGTCCCAGGCCCTAAGCCAACGCTGAGAGAATGAATTGCTGCTCTAATCTAAATGGGGCACAGGCTGCCAGTCTGAGTTTTCTATTCCCCTTAAAAACTGTCTTTGATGCGTTTTTTTAGGTAATATACACAAAACATAAAACTTACATTTTTACATTAACCTTTTAAAAATTATGCTAAATATACATAATATTTGCTGTTTTAACTGTTTTTAAGTGTACAGTCAGTGCAATATTAAGCACATTCACAACACTGTGCAACCACTACCACATCCTCCAAAACTTTTTCATCTTCCCAGATGTTTTCCCTCCCCCAACTCTTGGAGACCACCATTCTACTTTCTGTCTATGAGTCTGATGACTCTTACATACTTCGTGTAAGTGGAATTGTACAGAATGATTGTTCCCTTTACCTGGCTTATTTCATTCAGCATAATGTCCTCAAGGTTCATTCATTTTGTAGCCTGTGCTAGAATTTCCTTTCTTTTTATTTTTTTAAAAAGATTTATTTATTTATGCATACAAAAGCTGAGGCACAGGCCAGAGACAGGGGGTGAGAGAATTCACCAGAGACAGAGTGGGGAACAGAACAAGCAGATTGATCAAAGTACACCGCTGAGGGGAGCAGCAGGTGAGGCAGGAGAGGTCTGCTGTGCCATGTGGGTAGGTCCCTGGCCAGGGATCAAACTTATGCTGCAGTGGCTGTGGATAGCTTCACAGGTTGCATCTTAACCCTTGTGCCACCAGGGAGGCCCTCCTTTCTTTTTAAAGTTGAGTAATGGACCTCCCAGGTGGCGCAGCGGTTGAGCGCTGGGTTGCGAAGCTGCCTGCAGCCTCTGCAGCGCCGGTTCGATCCCTGGCTGCTCCCCGGCCACCGGAGGAGAGTCCCACACGGTGCGCAGACCTCTCCTGCCGCCCGCTGCTCCCCTCAGCAGTGTACTTCGGTCCTTCTGCCTGCTCTGCTCCCCGCTCTGGCTCTGGTGAATTCTCTCACCCTCCCGCGCTTCTGACTGTACCCAGTGCTTGTATAAATCAATCAATCAATCAATCAATCAATCAATCAATCTTTAAAAAAAAAAAAAAAGAAAGAAAGTTGAGTAACATTCCATTTTACTTATATACCACATTTTGTTTTCCATTCATCTCTCAATGGCCATTTGGGGTGCTTCCACCTTTTGGCTATTACAAATAAGGCTGCTATCAACATGGGTGTACAAATATCTCTTCGAATCAACTCTTTCAATTCTTTTGGTATATACCCAGGAATTCCTGGATCATAAGGTAATTCTCTGTTTAATGTTTTGAAAAATGCCATGCTGTTTTCAAGTGCCCATGCCATTTTATAATCCCACCAACAATGAAAAATTTCTTCACATTCTTGCCAACACCTGACTTTCAATTTTTCTTTTTGATAATAGCCTTCCTAATGGGTATAAAGTCGTATCTCATTGTGGTTTTGCTTTGCATTTCCATAATGACTAGTGATGTTGCATGTCTTTTCATATACTTATCAGTCATTTGTCAAGTCCTTTGTCCATTTTTTAATCAGGTTCTTTTTGTTGCTGAGCTCTCAGAATTCTTTATATGTTCTGGATATTAATTCCTTGATTTGTTTTCTTTTTAATTCAGTTTCATGGTCAAGAGGCAGAATAATAATTTTCACTACATCTGAAATCCCATTCCAGATTATACTGGATCCCAAATTCTTCTAAGAATAATGGCAAACCCATTATTCCTTCTCATACTATTTTACTATTTTCAAAGAAATTTCAGAGTATCCCAGTAGATCCTCACAAAGTCTTGAGAAGAAAATGCCTATTTCATGGGAGTAGAGGCTGAGAAGTTAAATGACTGTATCAAAACTATCCAGAAAGGATGGAGTGGTTTCCCAGACCATCACTAAAGGATCTTCAAGGACCACCTGCAGACATTGGAGCATGAGTGTCAAAGAAACTCTTTGGTTCACATCACTCTTGTACTATAGCTGACCTTTGTCAAGGATGAAATCTGGGCTCCAGGAACCCTGACTTGACAAAGGCAACACACATACTCTGTAGTTGACCATGGACAATGCCCCTCCTACATTCTTCTCCAATGTCTGTTAGCAGGAAGAGTGGAATTCATTTTCACTAGTGTTTGGAGTCATTCTGTCCTAGTGGTAGCAGGGACAGAAGTGATGGGGGGGAGGGGTCCTACAGAATTTGGTTTCATTAACTTGGGAATTGACTAAATATAGAAACAGGAAGCACACTCACAACAAAAATCAAAAATGCTAGATCAATAACTAATTAGAGGGGCTGTGTGAGCCTGATGGTGAGAGGGCATTGGGGAAATCTGAGGCTTGTCTGTAAGCAGCAAAAGGAGCTGCCATCAAGCACTGAGTGTGGAACACTGCTAAACTCTAGGGCGGGGTCTGGTATGGGATGCACAGAACTCTTGTTTCAAACAGAAATAGCTCGAGAGTTCCTACACACCATGGGTCTATCCCCCAGAGGTCCTGGGGACCTGCTAAACTGAATTAACAAAAGCCCCTTTCTGTGTCCCCCCCTTACAGAGTCAACTGTACTACTGTCTACACATTCCCTCCTTTGCAGCAACATTGAATAGCTGCCCAAACATACTCTACTATCTCTTCTGTGCTCCATGTGTCTATGCGTTTCCCTCTGCTTCTAACATCCTTCCATTCTGTGCTTTTTCTACTAGTGACCCAGGCTCAGCTCAGATATCACTTTCTATAGGATGTCTTCCCAGACCAGGGATGGAACAGGTGTCCCTCTGCGTTTGCCCAGCGCCCAGGGTTACATGGAAGATAGCCTCAACCTCAGTCAGGTAACAGTCCATTCACTGTTGAGTTCCCCCAAAAGATGAGGAGCAACTCCAAAGCAGTGATTCTCTCTTACTCCTGCATTCCACACTCCTGGCACAGCCTGACATATTAAAAAGACCCATTAAATGTTCAAAAGAATAAAGACTATTGGTTCTATAAAAATCTATTTTTTTGTTCCCTTTTACATAGTGTCTGGCATCAAATAATTGTTCGATAATTATGTAATGATGCTGGACAGAATAAGGGACTCATCCTGGAGATGAAGTGACTTATTTGTCTGGTCCCTGAAAGCTACCAGCTCACAAGTCATCTCCTTGTGACATGCATCTTATAAAAGCCCAAGTCAAAATGAACTGCTCCAATCTCTGTTCCCCAATACTAATGAGATGCAAGGATTGCACTGCATTTGGCAATGACCAGCGATGAGAGCTGGAACAGGCTGAGCTCACACTCACCACTCCTCCTTCCCACCCACCACACTGCCTGGGAGTAAAATCAAACAGAGATAGGTGTAACAGAAGACTCAGAAGACGCCTCTAAATTGAAAAGTGCTTTGTTCTTTTTAAAGAACTTATCAATTTAATCTTTACTACAAACCTGGGAGGACGAAGGATAGGAAATGACTATTCCCACTGTACAAATGAGGATGATGATAAAAGCTGAGCAAGTAATAAATGTCAAGCAAGATATAGGTAAGTAGGGAAATATTAATCCTTTTTCTCTACCAAGAACGTCTTTTGTTTTGACACAGATGTGCTACTTCTAGCGGCACCCTGTGGGGAGTAAAGAGGCTTGGAGATCCAAAGGTTTGGGAACTGTTTCCTCCATAATTCTCCAGGCCCCAGACCAAGCCGACCTTAAAAAAAAATCTACTTTATTGAGGTATAATTCACATTCAATTAAATGTACCCAACTTAAGTGCTTGATTCATTTTGACAAATGTATACACCCATGCAACCACAATCTTATATAATCAAGACAGGTGAGTGTTGACAAGTTTTTCTTTTGGCATCCAAGTCTATGAGTTTGAAAGCTCACATAGATCTGAGTAACCACCACCACGATCAGGACACAGAACATTTTCCTCACTCCAAAAAGCTCCCTCATGCTGCCCCTTGGTGGTCAAACCTTCCCCTATCCCCAGGCCCTGGCATCCACTGATCTATTTTTGTCCCTACAGTTTACAAACCTGGTTTGTAAAAAGTACCTCACAACTCATAAAAGAGATGTTTAAACAGTATCCAGTTTTCAAACAAAATTTTACTTTTAAAAAATTCTCTTATTTTTACATTACTTTTATGTCCTCTTCAGAAAACTTAGTAATATTAGTTAATTTATTTACTAAAGTGAAACCAAGTAAATTTAACATCACTGGGAAGCTAATCATCTTAATATTAGAAGATTAATCAAAAATATTTTTAAAATACTTTTGAAAACGTAATTTAGATAATGGCCATTATCTAAAACTAAAAGCACACCCATTGGGTGTTCTTCTTTAAATATAAAAAAAAATTAGTAGTTTAATCACTAAGTCGATATGCTATAAAACTGTAAATCACTTTAGTTAGAAATATGAAAGCTTTCTTATAAACTCAAGTTAAATAAACAGAGCTCAGTTACGTCACCTTGAGAAATTAAAAATATCAAGGTAGGTAGCTGAGTCACTAGACTATCCTATTTTATTGCTAGACCAAAAAGATGAAATTTCCTCATTTTTTTTCAATTTCCAAGTGATTATTCAACTTAGAATGAAACCGAGGCAGAGGTAGAACAAATTATTTCCACTTACAGAAAAAGAAAGTGGTGTAAGAGAGAGATTATCACTTCCCACTGATTACCAGGAGGGTGAAAGGCAATAGGAATCATGTCTTTTGAGATCTGTTTAAAGAATCTGGGCAGTTGCACCTGGAGTTCTAATCATGTATAGGAGTCCACCACAGGCTTTAAAATCAAAGCTCGGTCTTGCCATCCACCAGCTTTGTTGATCTTAGGTAAAATTGTTTGATCTCTTTGATTCTATTTCCTCATCCATAAAAAGGGAATTTTTTTTTAAACTTCTAGAATTACTGTGAGGGCTAAATGAGACAATGCACAATAAGTGAAGAAACACAGTTGAATGCAGAAGGTACAGGAGTAGGTAAAATTCATCATAGCAGGTGTTATGATAAAAAATACTATAGACCAACCAATACTATAGAACAACGTTTTCCCTCAAGAGTTAAAGATGGACACTGGTTTTCAGAATAATGGCAAGACATGTAGCTGGAAAGCATATATGGCCTATTGCAACTAAAAGTATTTAAAAAAAAAATAGGTTATGTGACAATATGCCTAAATGCTGTACAATCAGCAACAAGAATCCCTATTTTGTGCATAACTTACTTTCTAACATACCATTAAATTCAGATTATCCTTTCATTGGTTTTAAACAAATTATGGTGACTCAAGTTGCTTTAAGTCAGAGGAAAAATGGTATCTATTTTTGGAAAACAAATAATTTTTAATTCAAGCTAAATCCACAGGATTTGTAAAAACCCCTGGCATCTATTCAGAGGGACGTCTAACGGCGGAGACCATTACATGGCTGATTTTATACAAGCTAATGTGGCTTTCTTTAAGAGCTTATATATACAAACACCAGTCTCTCTCCATGGGTAGTAGTCATTTAAGTTCCTAAGTAAGAAAGCCAGTGCCACTTACTTGACTACCTGGGGGGAAAGCAGGCGTCTAGCTGACGAAGGCTTTTATGGGCTGAATCATTCACTCACAAACACTCTGATTGAGTGCTTCTGTGTGGGGAGACTGGATTCTCACTGTCAAGATTGCATCAACATAACTCTTCATTAAAAAAAGTTTTGTAACATCTTTTCCACATTGGGTCTGCTGAAATCTCAGTCATCCTTCACGTTTCAATGCCCCCCTTCGCAAAATGCCTTTCCTGATCTTCTATACCCTCAAATCTAAATTTCAGTCTGAATTAACCAATCCTCTTTGGCACTCCTAATGCCCTTTGATCAGACTTTACTTTTTGTACCTATCATATCAGGGTCATCTATTTATGTTGCCAAAGGAATTATACATTCTATCCATCTAAAAACAACAAATAACACAAAGCAAGTGTTAGGTCTCCATTAGGTGTTGAAAATAACCAGATGAACAAAAAATAAGCTGTGGATAAAAGCTCATGGCTCAGTGGGGAATTCAGGCAGACAACACATACATTTCAGCAAGCACAGCCTGTGCAATATAATAGTGACAAGTACAAAGTAGGCTAACAGTATGGAAGGATGAGAGATCAGGAATAACTTTACAGGGCAGGATGAACAAGTACATACCAGGTAGGGGCGGGAATCAGATTCAGTTAAGAAGGCATGAAACATGGGTGCAAAGTTTCAGTTGTGCCAGATGAAAAAGGTCTGGAGATCTGCTGTGCCTATAGTTAACAATACTGTACACTTAAAATTTTAAAAGCAGATCTCAAGTTACATGTTTTAACAATAAATTTAAAAAACGAAGGCATGAAAGATCATGGCATATATGGGAGCTTGTGAGAAGACCACTGTTGCTGGAGTTGATGGGGAGAAAACAGGGAGAGGAAGGGGAAGCTAGAAGCCAGGTCAGAAGGAGACTTGTGAATTGTGTTTGGCCTTTAACTTTCTAGACAATGAGAAGCTACGGAAAAATAGGCTCAGAGCTGCATTTCAGAGCACCGACTCAGAGGGCAGTATGGGAGAGCACTGGGCTGAAGAGGAAGGCCCAGAAGTGAGGAGAGCCAGGATGAGAGCAAAAGGCCTTGGTTAAGGAAATGGTACCAGGGACAGACCTGCCTTCTAAAACACTTATCAGTATCTGGAGTTATTTAGGCAATACATTTGCTTACTTTACCACCAAAATATAAGCTCCAATCACCAACAAATTTACTTAAAGTCATATTCCCAGTCCTAGAACTGGACCTTGTATATAGCAGGTGCTCATCAAACACCTGCTAAATCAATGAACAAATCCCTTGAGGGCAGGAACTCTGGCTAACTCATGTATGTATTCTTCAGTACTTACATGAGAGTACTGTATATAAAGAAAGGGATGCTCAAAAAAATGTGATGATGAATTTTTTTAAAGGTCCATGTCCTGGATTTTCCAAATAATGACATCAAATTTTCTTGGTGGAAAGTCCAAAGACAGATTCTTCCAGCCATCAGCTTTGCAAACTCCACCTGGGCATCTAGCAATCCAGCTGGGCCCTTTTTCTGCCTGGTAAATCATTGTTGGCAACAAAGTCTCAGCAATTAGTGCTCAGCTGTTGGTTGCACTGACAATGACAATGGTCAGGACAACCAGCAACACAGTGTGACCCCTATACTGTGTGACAGTACTAACGCATTATCACGAGGTGGCAGCTTGATGCCTCCTTCCCCTGCTCTGCAAATTACAACCCACTTTGGGGGCGGGGGGGGGGGGTTTCCTCTGCAGAGGAAGGATAAAGGGATTTAATTTCTGTTACATCAAGAACCAATAAAAGGGCAGTTTTATAACTCTTCTGAAGTGGAGCATACCAGGCTCAAGACATCAGCTTGACTGACTCATCCCCATGGTCGGCACCCGCCCTCCAACTGCCAGTTTTAAGTTAGCTGCCTGCTCACAGGGACTCAGAGTACGTTGGTTTTAGAAAAGTGTTCTGTATCTCTGAGAAACAGGTCCCTGATGGTGTCTCCACCAACGTGAGTCAAGAATCCTCTTGGGGGGAATCTACATCGTATTCAGTACACAGGGGTACAAGGATATCCCTAGACCAAGATTTCAGACTTGTAAATAAACCCTGACTCTATCACTTACCAGCTGTGTGACCATATGTAAATGATTTAACCTTTCTGAGTCTCAGTGTTCTCATTTATAAAATGGGAATAATATTCCCTGACTTACAGGATCCCCAAGAGAAAATAAATGAGGGAATTGCTATAGTGTGATAAACATGGCATCTGAAACCCATGGCATTTAACAAATGTTCATTCCTTCCCTTACCCTGGGTAGAATAAGAGCTCACCACATTGTAAGGAGCAGGCCTTGTGGGGTCTCACACACAGGGAGAAGAAAGCAGCTTGGAGAGCAGAAAGTATGGAAATGACAGCTTGCAGGTTCTGTCTGTCTCTTCTACTCTTGGGAAAGTTACAAAATGTGAGTGACAGGGGCTGTCCCAAGAACATAAAGGAAGCTAATCTGTTTGCAAAGGGAGGAAATAGCACAGGATGAAGATTGTAAGTTGTTTGAAGCTTCTTCCCTAATTACCACTCATAATGAAAATTTAATTGCCAAGTTAAAAGCAAATTTCACTTTTTCTGTCAGAGAATCTCTGCAGAAACTGGCACATTTTGTTTGAACAGGAAATCAAAGTTACTTTAATGCTTAAATGAGATCTAAGGAGCTGCAGATGTTTCCCTGGGAATAACAAGCTTCAAACTGTCCTACTGGGTTGCAGCAACTTACAGCTACAGGGAGAGAGAAAAACTGTTTTGAGCTGAGTAACTCAGAGGCTGGGAGGTGATTCAAATTCCAAGTACCCCAGTGCTAGACATCTAGAGATAAGGCAGGGATTGGGTGATACAGAGAAGGTCTCTGGCATCAAGAAGCTTACAAGTAGGAGAGAGAACTGAAAGACAACCCAAGATTAGGAAACTGAAATCTAGAAACCTTTAGGTGATGAAAGAACAGCAAGAAACACAGAGGCAACCTTCTGAGGGTGCTAACCCACATGAATGTCAGCCAAAGGACTTCTCACCTGTAAGGTGCTGGTGAGAAAGTTGTTCTGGGAGACAATATCCACAAAGAAATCGGCAGGGATCTCTCCAAGCTGATGGTACAGGATAGAGATGAGGTTGATGTACAGGGTATTGTGCTTCACCATGGCTTCTTCTGACCGGCACAGAAGGTTCAGGAGCCGCTTCCAGTGCTCAAATGCCTCATACACATTTCCCAGCAGGAAGCATACAAAGGCAAATTGGAGTTCACCTAAAAGAGGCAGAGAGGAGAAATGATCCTGGGGGAGAGGAGCACCAGCTGACTCTGTGAGGTCATCAATTCACCAGTTCTGCTCCTCAGCAATGGCAGCCTTTTATTCTTGACTCCTACAGAGTCTAGCGTGGGGTTTTGCAGTTAGCAGGTGCTACAATTTCAAGCATAGGACATCAAACTGTTGTAAAATCAGACTACAAGGAAGAGGTATACCTAGTATTTGCTTGGCAAAGAGTTCACAAAATGTATCCATAGATATTATGCCAAGTGGCTTCTAAACCTGGCTGCTTATCATATTTACAAGGAAAGCTTGTTAAAAATAAAGCTGCCAAGCCTCACACCCAAAGATCCTGATTGAGAACAGATGATGGGCCAAAGTAACTGTGCTCTAATAAGCTCCCAGGTGATTCTGATGAAGCTGTCTGCTCCAGGATCAGGGAAGTGCTGCATTACACCACATAATCCTCAGCTTGACTCCACAAAGCAGTCAGGAAAGGTGTATTTGTCTTATTATGCAGATGAGGTCAGGGACGTGCCCAAGGTCACACAGGCAATGCTTGGCAATGTATTCAATGGGAAGATAAAACAGATTTCCTATTGAGTGGGAATAGCTCTAGAGGCTCCCAGAACAGGAAAATTAGTGAGTACTTATTCCAGAGTTAGCCTGTCAGCCAGATTTGGATTTTTTTTATAATCACAAGGATATGTGGTATAATCCCTATAAACAGTTTGGTGGCTAAGAACCTGAGCACTGGAGCCAAACTGCCTGGGTTCAAATCTCAGCTCCACCGCTTCACAGTTGTGACCGTGGCAAGTTACTTGACCTGTTTATATCTGTTTCCTTACTGGCAGGTGGTAAAGATTAAATAAATCAATGAAACACATAAAAAGCATTTAGAACAATGCCTGCCACAAAGTAGCCCTCAAAGATACCAGTTTTTATTATTCCCACATTTCCACTGGATGTCTGTTTCAAACAAAGAGACCTGTTGTCCTTGGACAACTGGGTCTCTGGTTGCCAAGATATACTGTTGCTGATCAAAGACATTCTATCTGGCTTCAAATTTAATGAGGGCTTCTGTGGTAATCTAGACTCAGACCATCAAATGAACAGATGCACCCACTACCTCCTTAAAAGCTTGGTATCTATCAACTCCAGAGACCTGAAAAAACTACTTTCCCGCCCCAAGACCTGTGGAACTAAGTTTAATTTGTATGATTTGATTTGACCTGTGTAGAAAGTATGAAGTAAGACCAGTATTTTCAAAACATAGTCAAATATTCTTTGTATGTTAGAGGTTAATGATTTACTTTTTCAGTTGGCTCATAAAGCCAACTGAAAATATGAGCTTTTTCTTTGAATTTAGGGCATTTATTTAAATTCATGCATTTCTGAGCTAGTCTAAAATTAAAGTGAGATGAGAAATAATTTTAAAGAGCTGTTCAAAGATATAGTCATCCCTGCAAGGAAACTGTCCATAAGATTAAAGAACTGAAATGTTTAAGAGATAGGATTTCTGTTCATTTGTTAAGCCAGATTTCTAAGCATTACTTATTAAATGAAAATACTGTGTAATGCATTAAAATGCACCCATTAAAATATCCCTTTTGATCAACTGAGCCAATGATAAAAAAAGTCTTATATTCAAACTTTTCACTCACCTTCTAATAAAGAAATATGCAAATACTGGGACAATTTGTAAAAGATTTTTGCTGTTACCAGTAATCAAAGAAAAATAAAATGAAACAAGATGTCATTTTTACCTACCCAGTTGGAAGAGGACTTTGCTACATTACTTTGTCAACAGCTTCCCCTGGGGGTAAGGATGCACACAGGCTCCTGCCAACACACACTCTGCTCTAGCCATTTTAACCCTATACATGTGCTGAAGGACTCGCAAGGAAATGTGTTAGGCTACACTTATCAGAGAGAAAATAGAAACACCTCAAAGGTCCATTAGCAGTAGGCTAGTTTGATAAACTGGAAAATAAGTTGCCACAAAAAAGGAGTGGCTGTTTCAGTGACAAGGAAAAATGTTTATATTAAAACAGATTATGAAATAGGATACAGTAATCCTGTTTTTAAAAAAAATAATTATATACATCACAAGCATATATAATTAAGTTTAAAAAAAAGACTAAAAGGAAACAGAAAGAGAAAAGATAAATAGAAGAAAAGATAGAATACACCAAACTGTAAAACATGGTTATTCCTAGATAGTGGGCTTTGGAGTAAATTTTATTCTTGTTTTTCTTTTTTGATGAGTATGTATTATTTTTGTAGTAAAGGGAGGAGAAACAACAATAAAAACTAACAAGTAAAAATCACTGTCCTGGTCTAAGCCAGTAGAGAGCCAACACGTTGAGACAGTCAGGAGCAAACTGAGGAGGCAGTGCAAGACCGAGAACCAGGAGTCCCACTTTGGCCACTTAGAGGGCCAAATCCTTTGTTTGTCGAACTTAACTTAAAAAACAGGGGGATGGGCCACACTGATGGTTCCCAAACACAAGATTGTCTTCATCAGGTTCACCTAGCATGCTTGTTTATGACATAAACTGACAGACAAATTACTGAGGGCCCACTCCAAATCTCTTAAATTAGTCTTTAGAGGCAAGGCCTGGGCATCTATATCTTTAATGAGTGTACTGGGCAAGACTGCCACCTAGCTGTGTTTAGGTACCAAAGGACTAGATAATCCAAGATTTACTCCCTTCCTCTAAGCCCCCTACTATGTTCCCCTTCCTTGGTCCACTCCCAAAGAGCCAGTGTCTCCTCACCGAGTACATCCTGGGGGCTGCCAGGGAACTGCTTGCTGAGCACAGTCTCCAGGGCATAGCTCAGGTCCATGCTGTGCCTGGTTATCTCTGCTGGCGAGGCACCTGCGGGGAACATCTGTGTAGGCAGCTCTGAGAAGCGGATCTCTGTCCCAGCTCTGGGTTTCATTTCAGGCAGCCGTGCCAGGCCCTCCTGGTAGCTTTTGCATTCGGTGCCACAGTGGGGTAGATTCTGCCCCACCCGATCCTTGGTGTGCTTCATGGAGAGCACGGGTAGCACCTCTGAGAAGGCACAGATCTGCCGGTTTTCAGGTTGCAGCCTCTCCATTGTGGCCTCACTGATGAAGTTGGTGAGTGAGATCCACTTTTTGAGGGTGGCATATGGATAAGGTCCCAGGAACTGGTCCAGCTCCTGGAGGTTGGCCCTCATGGCTTCCACCTCAGCCTCTGGGGCTGGGGTTAGGTCCACCTCCTCCCGGACTGCATTCCAGCGCAAGACCATTAGCCCCCGCTGCTGCAGGCTAAGGAAAAAGCCCATGCGAGGACCCACCTCCCTGGGATTGGCTTTGTCCACAGAGCTGTAGTGGAGGAAATGGATTCCTGGTGGGATCATCTTCACGCCCCGGAACTTGGGCCCCACTTCCCAGGAGTTGTAGTCAATCCCAAACTCTGTCCCCTTGGGCATATTTAGGATGACCACGGTGGCCCCTTCAAAGAAGAGTTGCTTGGCAAGTTCAGGGTCCATCTGCAAGGCGGCCATGGGACCAGTGGTAGGTGACCAAAAAGGAGGACACGTCTTGTCTTCCAGAACTGAAAGGAAAGAAATCAGTTAATCAGAACTTAGGTAAGGATACTTCATTTGTTGAGCATTCTCTATGTGCCAGATATTTTATTAGACAACTGATATAATTATCTTTTAATCCTCACCACAGCCCTTCATTTGTTTTACAGATGAGAAAATGAGATTCAGGAGGATTTTGGGGTTTGGCTTAATGAACAACAACACTCATTTCACAGCTAAAAAGGCATACTCAAGAGAAGGACATACTCAAGGTCCATAAGGTCACACAAGACCACACAAATTAGAACCTAGATACCAATATTGTTACTACGTTCCACTTGGGATCTGTTTTCAGATTTCTCTTTCATAATGGAGGATGAAGCAGAGAAACCTGGAGGGTTCATTCCAAATTATAACTCTGTCTAAAACTTACTGCTAAAGAGTCTCAAGGGTAGAGAAGGTTGATTAAATCAAGCATGCATGCAGCTTCCCACAAGCCTCAAGAAGGCTCAGAAATGGACAGAAAAATTTAACCCACCTTATAAAATTAAAAAAGGTTGGAGTGGTGAAACTTTCAACCACAAGCCTCCCTTCTTTTCCATATACATAATCAAAAGTGCAAGGAGTGAAATGACTTCCTAAAAGTCAGTGGCAGCTCAGGACCACTTGCCCAGAATGGAATCAGAAGGAAAGGTACCAGTTTAATATACTTATTTGAGCTACCTCTCAACTACATGATGAAACTTCTGTTATCTGGCAGCTACCACATCTGTGGTGCTTACAAGAATGGCTCCAGTATAAGTTAATTTAAACCAATCAACTAACCTTCTAGTCCCAAGATACCTATTCAATTCAACAAATAATCGTTAAGCGTCTGCACTGTGCCAGCATCTTGTGCTGGGTACTGAAAGATCCATAATTAAAAGTCACTACTCTCTATGTACTTCCAAATCCAGCCAGAGAAACAAACAAGACCCAAAATTTCACAAATAGAAGATCCAGTTGCCAGTTAACTCAATACAATAGGAAAGACTAATCCTTTTTCAGACATGTTAAGGGCATATTTTATAATCTGAAATCAAAAGCTACAAAGGATTCCACTCTAAATCAACATCTTTTTCAAACTGCAAGTCAACTCACTAATGGATCAAGAAATCAATTTAGAGGGTTAATACTTTTAAAAGAATGAAATATTTCAAAAGTCAGAATACATCACAAGTAGTAAAGGTTTACTGTTTTCTGAAGCTTTGGTATTTGCATGTATTCTTAGTCATGCCATAAAATGTACTTGTTACTGTAGGTCACAGTCAAAAAAGTCTGAAAGTCACTGCTCTCAATAATTTATATCATCATCTTCCTATTTCCAATGCTGAATTCAGGAGGTACTTAATAAAATATTTGCTAAGTGAACAGCTACTGCATTTAGAATAATTGCTCATCAATTAGCTATTTTCCCTTGTGGCATCTGTGTGCTCCTCCTTGATAATGATATTCCCTTCATTCTAATTCCACCAGCCTGTAATTCTCTTCCCTAAATCTTCAGCAGCTGACATGTGGCCTGGCACAGTAAGGACACCCTGGAATGCAGAAAGTCTCATCTATCCACTTCTTTCTTCTACCTCCTTAATTGGAACTACCATATCCTTCATCCAGACACTGCTTGCCCTTCCAATTCACTTTGTATCTGCATCCAGACAGTTGGAGAAAACTTTTCAAAGTGCCTAGATGAGCATGTCACCAACCCACTAAAAACCATTTGACTGGCTTCCTATGTTCTTGGAAAGCTAAAATTCTCACTATTACCTACCAGGTGGGTCTGGGATGGTCCCTGGCAACTATCCAACCAGTTTCAAGTTATAACCCCATTCCTCTCCCAGCCCCAAGCTCTCTGTCCCACTCACACGTGCTGTTCAGACCCACAAAGGTGAAGATCACCTCCTTGGTAAAGCATCTTTGATGTGGAATTAGGTCAGATTTCCCATGATACATTCTCAAGGTACTTTGTACTTTTCCATTTCACTTATCACAACCACAATTTTGCATTTGTTTAATAAAAGGCTGTCACCTCTATGAGACTTGAATCTTTTGTACCTCTGGCACACATTAGACATTCTGCTTACTTATATAGTAAAACCATGATAACTGTGTGAAGCAGGAGACAGGGTCAGATGAGTCTCAGGACACTCTATCTTACTGAACATTAACTCAGGTTGAGGCTGACTAAGTCAAATAAAGTAGAAAGTTTTTTCCATTGGAGATGGGAAGCAAGGTCACCTATCCACAATCTGACAGTGACTGTCCCTATTTCTAAGAAGGAACCACCTCCCACCCCCATACATACTTTAGATGAAATAAAGTATTTATCATTAACAAACTCTTTCGGCTAACAACCCTCTAGGCCAATATGGAATCCATCCCGAAGAGGTCACAAGTCTGTGGAGATGAGGAGTTCGAGAGAGGCAATGACATCAAGGAAAGAAAAGCAAAGGACGTACACCAGCCCTTTAATTATGCTGGGTTAAAACTGCTAAAATAGAAGCTATGCCTATTTTTTGGAGAATGGCACACATATCCTGGCTCCCTTATGCTGAACTGCGTAAACTTTAATAATGCTTACTCGGTACCTGCAGGATTGGAGTCTCCCTTTTTTCTGTATCAGTGAACTCAAGACCCCAGAATCCGGTAACGTAATATTTCTGATGAGAAACAGACTCGGTTCAGAAAGACCTTACCCGAAGTTAGAGAGCAGGGCTAGCGGTACCAGACTAGGAATAACCCCAAGGTGTCTGGCCCCCAGGTTCTAAAGTTAGGGGAAAAGCGACGTTACCCCAGGATCCCCCAGGAAGTCCTGGCGACGGTGTCAGCGGTGACGGTTTCTCAGGGAGCAAGGCCTGCGGAGACACCAAGGTCCCACCGCGGGCCCTCAAGCCCGGGAAGCAGCCGTCCGGCGAGATGCCCTAATTCAGGGCACTCCGCCACCGCGGGCCGGTAATAGGGTTGTTCGGTTACACGCTAACGAAAACAGAGGAGTTGGAAAGGGGCCAGAGAGCCCCTTCAGTAGCCTCCCGGACCTCGCCACACGACCAGGAACCGCGAAGACGCACCGGAAGTTCTCCCCTTTGGCGCCGGAAGGGAGCGTCGGGGAAAGCCGCCCGGTAGAGCACTAGGTCGGGGGCGGAACGTCGGTTCCTGCAGGTTCCGCCCCTATCAAGTGTCGCCTTTTGCTACCGATACTGGATAACAACTTTCATGGAACCATACATTTCATATCCCACTGCAGAAACATATCCACCAGTCCTGATCCTTTGGTCTCAGTCAGTCGTGGTCACTGAAGCTGGGGTCGAGGTCGTGACTTCCCAGGAGCCAGTTTCAGACCCTTAGTTTTGAATTTGATGCTGGTCAGCCTGTCTCCATCCGAGTCACTGAGTCACCTCTGATTCGTCATGACCCAGTGTCAGCTTCCAACCACATTCAGCCCGAGGGGAGAGCCTCGGAAACTCAGTCCCCTATCTCAGCAGCAGTAATCACCACATGGATCCTTCTTGCCATAATCACTCAGCGTCTGGCTATAAACACGCCCTGCGCCAGGAAACTGCCTGTCCCTGGAACCTACCTCTAAGTCAGGCACAAAACGATTAGCACAGTACATGTATTATGCATTTCATTAATGACAGCAATTCAGTATTAATAAATGACTTCTAGTTTTGTGTCTAGCCCTGTGCTGGTTTCAACCAAGGATAAACATCAATATGATTTATTGCAATGAACTGGTTTACCTAATTGTGAGGGCCAACTACTATCTAGGTAAGTCCAAAATCAGTGAGGCATACCTCTCCTATCGAATTTCTAACCCTTACACTAACCCTTACGTAAGTTTTAGTATTCCCAATTTACAGAAGAGAAAATTGAGACTCAGAGAGGTTACACAGTCAGAGTGATGCAGCTATGATACAAACCAGTGTCTGACAATCTGTTCTTGTACTTGTGCTGATGCTCCTTAGCTCGTCTGTCACTCCTTGGTGATAACTGAAAACACCAATCTGTCTCAGTCACAATTCATCCCTTAGTTGATTACACTGGACCCCACAGGCATGGTTAATCACAATGAGCTGCTGCAGGATTAACCAGAGACATCCTCCATCCATCACAGTCATGTGTGTAATTCTCAGCCTGTCCTGTCAGTTCCATTTCCTGCATGAAAAAGCTCAGCTCCCTTGCCAGCCTACACATTCCCAGTCTTAGCTGCTCACTATGTGGTCAGGTCTCAGAGCTCTCTGTTTCAATTGGGTTCACCATCTTTTAAGAGATTACAGGGCACCCAACAATGGACACTGAAGCTGTAGATAGTGGCCTGGGAATCCCACCTTGAGGATCACTATTCCATCCAGATAGGGATTTTCACCCTTTGTACTATTGATATTTAGGGGCAGATAATTTTTGTTGTAGGAAGCTGTCCTGTGTACTACAGGATATTTAGAAGAAGTACCCTTGTCTCTATGCATTAGATCCTAGTAGCACCCTAAAACCACAATTATCTCTAGACACTGCAAAATGTTCAGGGCGGGGGGGAGGGATCATGTCCCACCCCTCATTTGAGACCCACTGATCCAGATGAACCAGCTCCAGATTATTCCCAAACATTCAGAAACTAATATTGTATTTATGGGAGATAGAGCCACAGATCTAGGGTGTGTGGAGTCTCAGTGTTTACAGTCCAAGTCCTAGTCCAGAAGTTCAGGGTGACTGATAGCTAAAGGAAACCTGTGGAGAAAATTCAGGGAAGGATTCACAAAGATCAGTGGGGCAATTGCCTCTGGCAATGGACAGGAGTCTGGAGAAGGTTGTAGAATTATTTTCTTCTTCTTCCTTTTTTTTTTCACATTTTAAAAGGACAGGGTTGTTGAGAAAAGGAAAAAGAAAAATAGAGGCACCTGCATAATCACAGACAGGCAGGAAAGCTGCCTGCAGAATTTTTTTTTTTTTTGCATAGCATTCTGTGTAACTTCATGAATTTCCTTTTTTAAAAAAAGATTTATTTATTTATTTATACAAGCACTGGGTACAGTCAGAAGTGTGGGAGGGTGAGAGAATTCACCAGAGTGGGGAACGGAACAGGCAGACTGACGAAATACACTGCTGAGGGAAGCAGCGGGCACGGCAGGAGAGTCTGTGCGCCATGTGGGACCCTCGCCAGCGGCCGGGGATTGAACAGGTGCTGCAGAGGCTGCGGGCAGCTTCACAGCCCAGTGCTCAACCGCTGCGCCACCAGGAGAGGCCCTGAATTTCCTTCTTAAAGAAAAGAAGTTGTGTCTAGCATTTGAAATTAAAAGGAAATGCTCAGGATGTAAATTTTAAGAAGTAGTACTTTAAAATATTATAAGAAGTATTAAAGTAATATGCACAAGGTAACTTCAATTCTGAAAAAATAGATATACAAAAGAAAACTGAAACAAAAAAAACACCATATTACTAGCTGTGGGCGATAAAGTGGTCTAGATGAGTCACTTGGTGGAATGAAAAATAAAGCATGACATGTGCACCTCAGGTAGGCTGAGGGACAAGAGTAGGTTTTATAAGGATTATGGTTTGAGTATTTTTACACTTATTTTTATGAAGACCTCTCTTCAACAAATGACTAATTTTCCATTTGTGGAAGTTATAGTTTCCTCTTTAAAATAACTTGCCATTTTCTACATATTCAATTTAAAGAAAACTAAGTCAAGAACGGGACAGGTAGTACATATAGGAATAGGGCAATCTGTGGCAAGGGGGTTGGCAAAGGCTGATGTTGGAGGTTACTATCTACATATCTGCTAGGAGCCCCTGTAGACCTTGATGCAGGTGATCTTCCATGAAGAGAGGAAGGATCATGTTGTTCCTCCATGCACCAAGCCCCTCCAAATCCTGGAGCCTGCGAGCTTTACTGCTCTCTGCCTAGAATGTGTACACCCAAGTTCTTCCCATTATTGGATCTTTTCCCTCATTCAACTCAAAAACTATGTCCTCAAGGAGGCCACAACTGGCCACCTTATTTAAAGTGATACACTTTAGAGATGTTGCATCTCCTCCTCCTTTGCCTTTCCTTGGTTGTCATTCTAGAATTGTCTCTATGTGCCCATTTCCTCCACTAGCCTGGAGTTCCCAGAAGGCAAGGACTTTGTCTCAAGGGTGTACCTGCAGAACCTGGACCAACTTGGGAGCTGCAAATATTTGTTGAATGAAGTGTTCTACGTTGGGATCTCTCCATGCCAGCTTTGGCCCTTCTTATAATGCCAACCTGTATCAGTAGCCAAGGAGAGAGAGACAGAGAGATGCCAAAGCAGCTTGTGGTTCAGCATCAAACACATTTATTTCACTTTTATTGAGTATACAAGAACAGAGAGCACACGCATACAGCACGGAGCACTGAGGTGGGGAAGCGCAGGGACGAGAGAGGAAGGGCGTGAGTAAAAAGGAACAGGACAGCATCGCAGTTGGTTGGTAAGGTGCTTTTGAAAAAAAATTATTTAAAGTGATGTTGCTCATGCAATTTCAGGCCAGTCTTGGAATGTGCTTGCAGGATTCAAAAACAGAAACAGATCATGGCACTTCCTGTACCCTCATATGGAAAAGATCCCAAGAAAACAAAATAAGAGAAAATGAAGATCTACAGGATGGCAGAATGGAAAAAGACCCTGGAGCACATCTGGTTTATCCTTCTAGTTTTGCAAATGGAAAAACTGAGACCCAAAAGATCTAGTCTGTTTTCACACGGTGAGGGAGGGGCTGAGCCAGTGTGACCAGCTGGAAGTCTTGACTGCCCTCTGGGACATTTCCACTATGCTCCATGGTCTCCTATACGGACAGGCAGCACACAGATGGGAAATGTAAAAAGGAAAAGTAAGTTGAAGACAGACAAGACAAACATTGATATTCTCTATGAAGAGGACAGGGAGGAATCAGTGCCCTAAATTTCAGCTTTGCAGCTCCCCTCCTCTCTGGTGGCACTGCCTGCTTCCCCTTGGAAGGCCAGAGCATCCATGGGACAGAGACCTCCACAAACCCTGCCCACCTCCCAGGCTAACCCTGATCACTCCCTCCCTGCCCTGCAGCCACACACTCAGGGTCTGTAAGCAGGTGCAGAATTCAGAGCAAATATTCTCCTTGTGAGGTGTGTGCAGTGTGCTCAGGACACCTGGCTCCTGCAAAGACAGCGGGGTGGTCCAATGAGTGGTATCTCTGCAGCTCCTGGCCCAGAAACAGTGTGAGATTTTGGGTTGAGAAGGCAGGGAAAAAAGTTTCTGTGGCTTCCCCCCCAGGAATGCAGTAAGACCTGGTGCATGGACAGTGTGCCGCTGTATTCAGGGGAGGGGTGTGGCTGATGCTGCCTTCTGATCCCCAGATGCCGGGATCTCCCTGTCCTCTCCTTCCCATTTTTTTTTTTTTTTTTTTGCCCACAAGGTAAACACTATTTCATGTCTTGTTCTGCCTCAGGCAAGCATCAGCTAAGCAGCTAAGCATATGTCTTCTGGGCAACTGATAAGCCAACTTGGGCCCTCTGAGGGGCATCCCTGGGCAATGTATTAGAGAGAATGCAGAAATATTCTCAGAGGGGCTGACCATGGTGGGAGATATAAGGCTGGCTCAAGGGGCTTCCCAGGGCCCTCCCCTCCCCTCACACATTCTCCTTCAACCTAAGAATAGTGCCTGGCACGAGTAAGCACTCAATAAATATTTGTTGAATGAATTTATCGACTGCTTTAGAAGCTAGGCTGGGAAGATGAAAGGGGACTTAGAAATGAAAGTGCAGTGGGGACACACTCCCTCAGAAAGGGACTTTGCTCAAGGAAGCAGCGTGTGCTGGAAAAGCCCATGTGTGCCAAGGCCACTGCCAAGCTTTTGATGGGGTCTTCTCCAAGGACTTCTGTGGTCTTGAGGCAATTTCTGGGATTCTAAGGTTACAGGCTCAGAGCTTAGATGTTGACTGAAGGGCCGTAGGGTGTCTCCAAAGCAAGGGTCTTCTCCATAGACGGAGCCTTTGGGTGGGACCACCTTGCATTCTTGGCTTCTTCCAGGGCAGGTGAAGCCTTTAGAAATGCAGTTTTGACCTATCAGGGCATGCCCTGTGTTCATGGTCTCTACCATGGCTGTTTTGGCCCAGGAAGAAGAGAATGATTCAGAACATGGGTGAAGGAGAGGAAAAGATTGAATTAGGAATTTCCAAACAGCCAGTTTGAAGACACTGTACTCTGTGGGAGCCCAGTGCAGGGAGCAGGCATTAGCTCCCTTTGGATGGGGAGTCAGCTATCACAATGTGGTCAGGGAAAGGCAAGACATGTGGCGAAAAAAAAAAGAAAAAAAAGGGCTGAAAACCAAGGCAACCCCCCTACCACCACCACCACCCAGGGAGGTAAGGAGACTGAGCCAGGAGAGCCTCTTAAGCAAAGTCTGGATCAGGACTCCATTTGAACACAGATCAGGCTCTGGTTGCTACTGCCGGGGGAGAGAAGGCATTCTGGACCTTCCTTCTTGCCAAACTCCTGCCTCTCCATTTGGGGCCCCCGCCCCTCCCCACCAATCAACCAATCACAAACACCACATACTGTATTACTACACTGAACCACTGCCTCTACTGTGAGCCACCACAGCCAGAGTCCAAGTCTCCTTGACTGGGCCAGTTCAGTGAGATCTAGGAACCTTGGGATACATTGATCACAGTCAGATAATTATAATTTTAAAATGTCAGCTTCATACTTACCAGCACTGTTTATTTTAATATTTGTTTCCTGTTATATGTAATATACATAACTTAAAAGCACATCCATACAAATCTACAAGCTGCACCTTCATAATGAAAACCCATAAACATACAGTGTCTACTTCCCTTCCTTGGCTTGGTTTTCTGTTCTTGCTTTCTTTTCTTTTCCTCATTTCAAATGACAGTCATCTGTTGTGGCCCCAGCAGGACCTGGACACAGAGGGTGACAAGTATGGGGTGGGGGCAGGGGGAGGAGGGAGCCAAGACAGAAAATGATAACTAGACGCTTGAGAGTGGAGGGGGGTGGGGAGATGGAAGAAAGGAAGGTGGATTTTGCAGCCCAGTGTCAAGACCCAAAAAATAATAATCCAGTGTTCCTCCTCCTTCTTTCCAAGTGGGGGATTTTTTCTTTCTTGGAAAACGGTTGATGGGTACGTGTCTTGCTGCTGCGACTTCTCTTGCTTTGTTGCAAAAGTATTTTCCTTTGCATCTGAGTGGGCAACAGATGCTGGAGAAGAACAAATGGGATGCTTGTCCACTAAATGTAATGTGCAAAACCAGGGTTATATTGTACCTCTACAATCACTGTGGTCTGGCTTGCTTTTGTTGTTCCTCAGGGCTTTGAAGCGGGGAGCAAGGGATTATTGTGATCTTTTTTTTTTTTTCCTTGAAAAATCCCACCGGTTATTTAATTAGTCTGCAAAGGAAATGTAGGTGTTCAGATGTTGGCTGTTGCTGTCGGCCGATTGCTCGGCCAGCCCCAGCAGCAGTGCAGGACGCGGTGTTTCCTGTATATATACTATATCTCTATATATCTCTATATATATGCTTTTCCTTTCCCAGTCTTTCATCAGGGACAGTATGTCGCAGCTGGGACATCGATGTTGAGTCGGAGAATCCAGAATGAAGGCCCCTTCTTAACGGTTCTCTGGCTTGAGTTGGACCAGAAATGCCAGCATCTCTTCACAGAGGTCAGGATTCCTGGAGTCAGAGGGTCAGAGTTGGAGACAGGAGAGGGGAGCACAAAGAAAGGGGGAGGACAAGAAAAGTTAGGAACTCTCTGTCACTCATTTTTTTTTTTTTTTAAAGATTTATTTATTTATTTATACAAGCACTAGGTACAGTCAGAAGCGCGGGAGGGTGAGAGAATTCACCAGAGCCAGAGCAGGGAGCAGAGCAGGCAGAAGGACCAAAGTACACGGCTGAGGGCAGCAGCGGGCGGCAGGAGAGGTCTGTGCGCCATGTGGGACCCTCGCCGGTGGCCGGGCATCGAACCGGTGCTGCAGAGGCTGCAGGCAGCTTCGCAGCCCAGCGCTCAACCGCTGCACCACCAGGGGAGGCCCTGTCACTCATCTTTAATGCATGGCAAGAGGTTTGTAGCTAGCCTTTACTATGTATCCTTAATTATGGCTCCAGAAGATAAAGCAATTTGTCCAAGGCTAGCCAGCTGATAAATAGCATCTGACAAATGAATCCATACCTGTCTGCCTCTGATATGTTTTCTTGTTTGTTTCCAGGGAGAAGATGTCTTTCACTTTTTTTTTTTTTAAGATTTATTTATTTATTTATACAAGCACTGGGTAGAGTCAGAAGTGCGGGAGGGTGAGAGAATTCACCAGAGCCAGAGCGGGGAGCAGAACAGGCAGACTGACAAAGTACACTGCTGAGGGGAGCAGCGGGCGCAGCAGGATTGGTCTGCGCGCCATGTGGGACCCTCGCCAGAGGCCGGGGAACAAACCAGTGCTGCAGAGGCTGCGGGTAGCTTTGCAGCCCAGCGCTCAACCGCTGCGCCACCAGGGTAGGCCCTGTCTTTCATTTCTTAACAGTCCAAGTTTCCTTTAACACTGAGGCTACAATCACATTCATTTCACTTTTTCTTCCTCTCCTCTCTCAGGTCTAAGAAATGTTTAGTTGTGACTGCAAGAATACTTTTCTAGTTGTTTTTCCTTGGAGCAGACTACATGGGACTGCTGTGGCTTGGGGCTTACACCCAAAAGATCAGTATTTAAATAAGGAAACTGAAGTCTGGGTTCCAACTCAAGTTTGACTCCAAAACTTTGTGGGTGAGGAAGTGGGTTCTGCAGTTAGAGTCCCTGAATTCAAATCCCACCCCTCTGCCTACTCACACTATAATTCCCAGCAAGTTTCTTAATCTCTTGAGACCTTGGTTGTGCCCTCTGTAAAATGGGTCCTGCCTTATGCAGTTATAGGGAGGATTCAAAACAAGGGTCAGAATATGTTAAGTGCTAAATAAATATCACCTGTTCTTATAAGTACTACTGTGGTTAATTGAACCATACACTATTCTAATCTCCTTGAGGACAAGGAATGTCTTTGCTAATGTGGTGGGTACACAGCAATAACCCAAAACTATTTCACAGGTGTATATTATTCCTGCCCTTTACTGTTCACATCTGGTCAAGTGCTGATCGAGTCAGAGATTTAGCAAGTTGGTCAGAACCCAAGGTTCCTCTTTGGAATGGATCATTTCCACCCCCAACCCTGTTAAATTAAAATTTTGAAGGTAAGAAAGCACTAAGAAGCTGGGTGAGTGATGACCTCTTGTTGGCAGTGTTTGGGAGACAGGTCCTGTCTGAAGGAGGCAGACAGTGGGAGAAGATAGAGCAGAAGCCATACATCTAGCCTGCAAGTTGCAGGGAGAGGAGAGAAAAGACTCTTTGTGAGATGGGTATGTATTCCACACTCACAGCAAGAACTTCAAGGAGAAGAATTTCCAGATGGAAGGACAAGTCAATAAAGGACAGATTTTCTGGAGGATTCAGGGAGGCAGGAAAAGACCAGCAAGATGAACACCCACATGGACACAGGGCTTGAGTGCCAGGCTGGTGGCAGCAGTTCATGGTCTGAAATACTTTGGGCTGTCATCGACTCCTCAAATTGGACAAAGAAGCAGGTTTACATTGTTAAAAATGTGAGATCCTTCCCTGACACATCACTGCAATGGATTGGATGTCTACGTCTCCCCAAAATTCACATGTTACAGCCCTAATCCTGTAGATGATGATATTTGGAGGTGAGGCTTTAGGTTTTTAAGGGTGAAGCCCCATAAATGGGCTTAGGCCTTTATTTTATTTTTAAAGATTTATTTATTTATACAAGCACTGGGTACAGTCAGAAGCGTGGGAGGGTGAGAGAATTCACCAGAGCCAGAGAGGGGAACAGAACAGGCAGACTGGTCAAGTGCTAACCGAGTCAGAGACTTAGCAAGTTGGTCAGAACCCAAGGCTCCTCTTTGGAATGGATCATTTCCATCCCCAACCCTGTTAAATTAAAATTTTGAAGGTAAGAAAGCACTAGGAACCTGGGTGAGTGATGACCTCTTGTTGGCAGTGTTTGGGAGACAGGTCCTGTCTGAAGGAGGTAGACACTCAGACTGCTGAGGGGAGCAGCGGGCATGGCAGGAGAGGTCTGTCACGCCATGTGGGACCCTCGCCGGCGGCCGGGGATCGAACTGGCACTGCAGAGGCTGCGGGCAGCTTCGCAGCCCAGCGCTCAACCGCTGTGCCACCAGGGGAGGCCCGGCTTAGGTCTTTATAAGAAGAAACATGAGAGATGATCTCTCTCTGCCCTTGACCATGTGTACACACACAGGGAAGGTGACTCACTGCAGACCAGGCAGTGGGTTCTCACCAGGAAATGAATTGGTCAGCACCTTGATCTTGGACTTCCCCGTCCCAACAACTGTGAGAAATAAATGTGTGCCACCCAGTCTATGGTATTCAGCAGCTCCACTGACTATGACCGTCACACAATGGCTGTGAGGATATGCTGTTTCCACCTGTCCCTCTTCACTACCCACTGTCAATCCTCACTCCCTTTTTCTTACCACATCTGGATTCATTTTTGGGGGGTCTTATGCTTACAACCCCAAAGAAGCCAGGGAACCAGTCTTCCTTCCCCTTCCCACTCTGATTCATTGTATCTAGGGGAGCTAAAGCTTTATTTTTATTTTTTAAAAAAGATTTATTTATTTATTTATATAAGAACTGGGGCACAGGCCAGATTCACGGGAGGGTGAGAGGATTCACTAGAGACAGAGCGGGGAACAGAACAGGAAGACTGACGAAATACGAAATACACTGCTGAGAGGAGCAGTGGGCGCGACAGGAGAGCTCTGCCGCGCCATGTGGGACCCTTGCTGGCTGGCCAGGATGGAACCAGTGCTGCAGAGGCTGTGGACAGCTTCACAGCGCTGCACTCAACAGCCTGAGCCACCAAGGGAGGCCCGGGAGCTAGAGCTTTAAAGAAAGAAGGTTAGGGGGTATCAAAGCTACACTAGGGATCAAGTCATTTGATGGATTCTCAGAAAGAAATGAGGCTCAGAGGATCCTGGCACCATCTGTTCTTTCCTTGCATGGCTGACGAGCCTCAAAAGGCTTACCTGTGGCTTCTTGTCCCTCTCCTCCGGGGATGGGTCTGTTTCTCTGTATACGACAGCTTTGGTTACCAGCATGTCAGGATGCTGCAGCTTAGCCTCCTTGATGGCCAAAGCCAGGGCCTGGTGTAAAAGAACAGCAAAGTGAGCACCATAAATTTCAGACACGAGAGAAACCATGAAGACCGGCAAGGCCCTTAGTGCACTGCTGGGAAACTGAAGCACAGGGAGGGACAGAGGTCAAATAGTTAAAGGCACAGACTAGAGCTTGGGTTCTCCCACTCCTTCTGGATCCTATTTCCCTCCCCCAGGGGCCTCATGTCTGGACAGTGTCAGCAGGAAGAAGACATTCCCTGTCCACAGGGTAACCTGATATGGGAAGCACTGGGAACTGGGCAGTGCCGCTGGGAATAAAGTTTCCTAACCACCTACCTGATCTTGATCAACATCTTCGTCCCCAGTAATGATGATTCGCTTCTCGATCCTCGTCTCTGAAAACCCTCCTTTCACAGTCTACAGAGGGAGAGGGAGGTGAGGTCAGCTCTGGGGCCTGTTGGGGCACCTGAGGCAGGGGACCTCGCCAAAGCATCCCTCATGGGCCAGGCTGGGAAATAGCAGTCACCTGCTCTCTTGGCTCCCTCCAATTTTTCCTTTTCTGGCTTTGTGACTTCAGACTGCAGCTCTGGCCTGGCTACCACCACTACCCCAGTTACCAAACTACCCTCCTAAGCCTTCCAAGCCCAGTTCAAAGGCTGTCTCCCGGACCTTGGGTGGCTGTCCTTCCTGCCTTGATGCTTCCCCAGCATCAGTCTGTCTCTGGCTGTTCTGGGACACCCTGCCTGGGGCTGATCATTTGTTTGTGACCTGGCCTTGCTCACTAGGCTGGTGATCTTGAGGACAAGTGTTCTTTTGTTCATCTCTGTATCCCCTCCTTCCTCACTCCCCTGTCCAACCTGACCAGAACAGGTGCTCAATGCAGATTTGTTGGATGAACACATGAATGAAATGTAAATGGTGACAAGGTTCTAACTTAAATGACTTCAAACAATACTCCAAGAAGAAACTCTGATAACACTCCACACTCCACTGTTTTCTAAAAGGGTGGGCCTTGGGTGCAAGTTTAGAAGTAGAAGAGGTGGTAAGATCTAATTGGCATATTAAAGGAGGGTGGTATTTGAGGAAGTTCCAGCTGGAGTCAGGAGTAGATGGAAAGAAGAGGGGCTCCCAGTGGGTAGGGCCAGGAGGGTTTGGGCAGGGAACTGACAGCAGTAAGCATGTGATGGGGCTTTGCAAGGTAAAATTTGCAAACCCAAATCTGTAGGATAAATACAGGAGCACAGGCTGGCTGTAATGGAAAACCTTCCCACAAAGCGTCTGATGAAGTGGTCGTTGCTCACTTTCGGTGAGAGTGGGTGCTCCCTGGAGGAAGTAAGGAAGTGTCGAGTCCTGCATAGCAGTGGGCATAGCGGGGACACTTGTGTGCAGAAAGGGCAGTGCTGCCTGCCAGACTCAGCAGAACATCCTCTCAACCTGACTTCCTGGCCTCGCTCCTCCAGGCCTCCACCCTGGCCTAGACTCCCTCCTGCCTTCTTCCCTGCTACTCAGGCATGGACGAGCTGGCCTGACTGCCCCTCACTCCCCAGTCCTCTCTGGCCTTCCTTTTATGGTCCCTTACTTCTCCATCCCCTGCTCCCACCCTGTCCAAGTTCTCTATCCCTAGTCTCTCCTTAATTCTCTCTTGTCTCCCATCTAACTGCACATCCTGGTGGTCCTAATCACTTCTCCGTTAACCCTTTGACAGCTTTCCAAGTGCTCTCAGACTCGGGCTGTCTGTTGTCCCATCTGTCCTGAGATTTGTCCTACTGATCTCTATTCTGTTTTCCCGGCTCTCAGTCCCACCTAAGTGTTCACAATTATGTCCCCTGCTCCTTCTTGTTAGTGATTGCTTTTCCCATTTCCCACAAACATGCACTGCTGCCGTCACCCCCAGCAGCCCCCAGCACAGAGGCCAGAGTGAGACTGACACGCAACAACATTTGCTCATTGCACAAATAAGCGACAGTTTTTGCTCCTGTTTCTGCTTTTCTTTGGACACCTGCATCATCTTTTCTCCTGTCATGGGTCCCACCTGGTTTCCAAAACCCTGCACACATCTCACTTTTTGCAGAAAACCCTTCTTCACTCTCAGAGTCTTGCGTATATTACCTCCCGCTAGGCCCCTCCAGCACTTAGGTCTATAAGGCGCAAAAGCCACGGTTCACAATTACTTCCAAGGAGATAGTCTTGTCCCCCCCAGCCTGGCTGTCGACATTGAAGGGCCTAGGACAACCCGTAGCACAGAACAAAGCGCACAGCACTCCAGAAACTGGGACCACCACAGGTCTCCTCCAGCCACGTTACAAGGCAGAGCAATGGCAATGACCTTCCCGATCCCCACAGCCAGGCTGGGAGTACAGGGCGCCCTGCTGCTACTCACTTTGGTAACATGGGTGGTGGTGGAGGTGGAGAGGGTTTCCGCAGTGGCGCCGTAGGTGCTGGTGAGGACATCTTTCCCGATGATCTGCAGAATACAACCACCCCCCACCCGGGGGGGGGGGTGTCAGGTGAGGACGATGGGCTCTGAAGGGTGGGGTGGGGTGGGATAACCCAAGGGATGGTTGGGGTCCCCGTAAAGGTAAAGTTTGGAGGCCAACCTGCTTCTAACAACTGAGTCTAAACATTCAAAAATATTGGCATCTTCAGAATGCTAGGCCCAAGAAATTCTCAAACCTAGAATCCTAACAACACACTAGAATTTAAGAATCCTGACATCTAAGAAGAATGAGCAGAAGGATTCAAGGTGGAAACAGAGCCCTCCAGGTGCCCCACAGGACAGAACTCTTTCTCTGCAGTTATGATGAGAACAACAGGCTTGGAGAATGCAGGACTGCAAGAGACCTCACAGTGACAGACAGGTTAGCAAGGTAGCCACCCACAGACCAGGCCCAGGACCCAAGCCTCAGGCTCCTAGTCTTCTTCTTCCTGGTCAGCAAGGAGAGCAGATGCAAAAGAGCTGTCACATCACAGGCACCACCAGAGGGAGGTGCGACTTCACCCCATATCGCCAATGTCCTGTTTGTGCATGGTGGGGCGGGGGGGCAACAGGGGAGACTGGTGGGCATTGAGAAGCTCTATGGGCATCTGAAAATGAACCAGTCTCTTGGCACTTAAAAGGGCAGCCTTATGGGCTCTAAGCTGCACTTGCTGTGGGTCCCATGAGGACCAGTGTCCACATTCTCAGCTTGGAGTCCCCTAGCCTGAGCTGGCCCTGTCCACTTACCGGAGAAAGAGAACGGATTTCCGTGGCCACCATCTGTGGGCCTGGGATCATGGCAGCTGCCCCCTTCCCGGACTTGAGACTGTTCTCCTGGGGAAACAATAGTGCTCAGAAGGCCAGGTCTCAGGTCGGCAGCCCCCAGGAAGGCCGGAGCACATGGCCATGCAGCGCTCATAGCCACAGGTTGAGTATTGACATAGGAAGCAGAGAGCTGAGGCATCAAGGAGTTCCATCTTTCACTTGTCACTCGCTCATACACGCAAACTGACACACTCACTCATTCACATACTCACTCGTTCAATACACATTTACCGAGTGTCTGGCATTAGGGACACTGTGGTGAACAAGACATAGTGTTGCTCTCAGAAGCACTAGCAAAGGAGTTGAGACATTCAGGTTCCTGTCCTGGCCCTGCCACATTCTAGCCACATGACCTGGGGATAGCTATTTTCTCTCTATGGGCCGTATGGATTCACCTAAAAGGGACCCTGGCAATGAAGGCTCATCACTGGTAACAAATATCCCACTGCGGTAGAGGGTGTCGATAATGGGGGAGGCTATGCATGTGTGGGGACATGAGGTATATGGGGAAATTCTGTACCTTCCTCTCAATTTTGCCATGAACCTTAAAAATGCTCTTTAAAGTCTTTTTTTTTTTAAATAGGGACGCTGTATGCCAATGTCACTTCAAGAAATATAATGTAAAAATTAAGAAAAAAAGACCCATGCCCCCACAGTGACACTCCCACAGTGACACTCACACAGTTTAAGGAAGGAGAAAGGGTTTTGCAAACCAAAGTTTATAGGATAGATATAGAACAGGCTGACTATTAATCACACATGATAACTACTGTTTTCTGAGTATTTGTGCTAGGAATGTGCTAGGTATGATGCTAAGGATGTATCATCTCATTTAACCTCCATACGGCCATAGGAAATCACTTTAATGTTTCTGTTAGAGATGAGAAGGTGGAGGACCAGAGAATACTAAATGGATTGTTCAAGTCTCTCAGTGAGTGAGTGACAGAGCAGGATTTAAATTCTAAGGATTTACACATCAGACTCTGTCCAACATGTTCCAGTGGGGTTCTCACAGTCAAACCCACTTTCCTAGTCCTGCCTTGGATTCTAGCTGCTAGATCCTCCTGGAACTGGTTCTGGACTTACTGGGCCACATTTGGCAAGGGGCCTGGCTGCCTGCCTCCACCTCCCACTTTCTAACTACCTGATTGTCCTGGGGCCCAGAGCTGTGCCCATTCTGTAACTGCCCAGTGGGCTGAGGCCCAGTCAGTCCTGGTCTGTGTGTGGTACTAGATCTGACCCTCTGCTTTTCCTCTGTGTACCCCAAGGCTGCTTCCAGCTGAGGCTGTCAGTAACCTGGCTACCTGGCACTCCATCCACAAGGTACTTTCTCAGATGGGGTCCCAGAATATGGCCCAGCGGCAGCCTCGAAAAGGCAGCCCTGTGAGCTCAATGCTCCTTTCTCCCTCTTAACAAACAGCCCCCTTTGAGTCCTGCTGTTGCTCCAGGTCATTTTCCCCTAAAGCCTCTTCTATTCCTGCAGCTCCCTTCTTCCTGGAGCAAAGCCTCACCTCCACCTTCATACTGAAAACAAGAGACAACTAATGGGGACATGGTTCCTTCAAAACAAGGCACCATCTGCTCCCGTGTTTCTCAAAACTTCAGTCAGCCCTCTCTACTGCCTCCAGGATCAAATCCTCTTCTTGGCCAAGGCAATGCCACCATCTCTGTTCTGGACCCTTCCTTCCTGGACTTGGGGCATTCCTCCTTGCTGCTATCTCTCTGGGCAACCTCAGCCACTCAAGGCTTCTGCTGCATCATCAAAGCCAGTGTTCCCTATCCTTTTATCTGCAGCCCAGATCATTTTTGAACCCTAGAACTTCAAAACCAATGGTTCCTGGACATGGCCCACAGGTACCTCAGGCTCCTCTTGCTCTGACATATCTGCCGTTAAAGAACACTCTCTCCCGAGCTGTCTATACTAGTGTTCTCAAGTGTGAGGGGCAGCACCTGGAGGGCTGTGAGAACACACACTGTTTCTGAGTAAGTTGGGGGTGGGGCTCAGAATTTGCCTTTCTAACAGGTTCCCAGGACAGAGCTTTGACAACTGTCGTGTTAATGAACGTCACTAGCCTGTCTCTCTTCTTGTCACTCGAACATTCTATCAAGAACCAAATCTTGCCCTTTCCTCCTTCCACATTCTGGCTCCACCCCAGTCCCTAAACTAGTCTCCAGCCTTCTCTTTTGGTCTCTCCCAATGGCATCTGGGCTCAGGGACATTGCCTGAATCCTTCAGGGTTGAATTCACCACGCATGACGCAGTATTTCACATAGTGGGGGCTGTTCACTAGTCATCTGCTGAAGAAGGCAGGGGGAAGGGGAGGAGGGAGAGTGAGGAGCAAGGAAGTTCTGCACCAGTCCATGCCCCACACAGCTTGCTAGTGTCAGCTCTCTAACCCACAGAAACATGTATGTGATGATATCACACTCCAACCTAAAGTTGAAGTGATTCTGTAACAGGGTGGTGCCCAGGAAAGGGGGAGGTTCCCTGCCCCACCCAAGGGAGGGTGGAGCTGAGCAGGAAGAAGGGAAGCTGCAGAAGAGACTGAGGAAGGAAGCAGGATGGAGCCAGGAGACCTGGAGGAGGTGCGTGGAGCCCAGAGACATGTGAAGAAACTGCGCTTGTCCTTTGGTCGTGGACTGGGTGACACAGATGTGGGTGAGACCCGTGGGGAGGTGACAATGGCAGCTTTTATCTTGATGTTGATTTTGCTATTTTCCTTCCGGGCTTGTCTGGTTGTTTCTGACCCTTTTCTGTGGGTCCCCACTGGAAGGTGCTTTAGACTTGTGGCAAGCTTTGGGGCCTTGCTCTGGGCCAGTCCCATATGGATGGACTTTTACCCACGAGGGGACGGGTAACTTTGGGTGCTTCATTTAGAAACTAGACTCTTTGCCTTACCTGTATTGTTTCCTAGTTTTATTAAAGTTCCTTCCCATTAAAGTCTCCTATGTTTTGTGTTGATGCGGCGGATGGCAGAACCAATTTAGAATAGGCAGGTTTGCGGGGTTTGGGCTGCCCCTCTCTCTGTCTTATAACAATTCCCCATTGTCTCCAGGATGGAGTCTGGCCTTCATATATGACATTTGAAGACCCTTAAAGCCCTGGTCCTGCCTGCCTTCTCAGCCTCTTCTCTCCTGCTTTTCCGCATACTGGACCTCTCACTCCATGGACCACTTGCCTTTCCCCAGATATTTTGTTCCTTCATGTCCTCACTTTTGCTCTTGCCCTTCTTGTTGCCCTGAATGCCCTCTCTGAGATGATGACTTCATTTAACTACCCTTCAAGCAAAGTCTTCCCCAGCATCTCCTAGCAGGGGTGTCACTCCACATCTATCCTCCCTGAGTGGATTAGCATCAGTACCTGTTTCATGAAGGCAGGAGTAATAAATCACAGCAGCTCACATTTACAGACCACTCACCCGCCATGCACCAGGCACTCTCCTGAGGCCTCTGCACAGACCACCTTAGTTCAACCTCACATCAACCCTTTGAAGGATGTGTTACTATTGCCCCCTCACCCTAGTTTACAGAAGTGGAAACTGAAGCTTGGAAAGGTGGAGGTAACTTGCCCAAGGTCATCCAGCCAGGAAGTAGAAAAGCTGGGCCTTGTTCACCACTGTGTGCCTAGGACCTAAACACAGGGGCACAGCACATTAAATGTGCCTGAGATTATTTGAATGAATGAAATCTAGCGGGCAGTCTTATTTCTTTCAACTCTGTATTCCCCATACCAGGCAGAGAATAGAGACTCATAAATGGTTTTGGAACAAATGAATAGATGAATGGATGGATGGGTAAATGAATGATATAGCCAACTGCTCACCACAGTAGCAAATTTAAATTTAGCCCTATAAGCATCCCAATGCCATGTGGTAAAGGGCTGAGGGGAGAGGAGGAACTGAATGATACAGAAAAAACGATAACTGGCTTAGGTTTATTTATCTTAAATTTTTGTTTACTCAAAACCCATCTGATGGGTAATCTAAATTAACTTAATTCTCTTCCTAAGTGTATATCAAGGGTTTGACAAGAAATCACATTTGAAAATAATTTCCCAACACCTCAAGATAGGTCCTGCCCAGGCCCTGATACTGGCCAGCCCCGGCCCCACCCCAGCCCCGGCCCTACCCAGCTTGTGTTCACAATGGTCTGGATGACAGAACAGAGCGGTGGAGGTGGACAGTGGGGCTTCTGGAATCAGAATGCCTGGCTTTGACTTGGTTCTACCACTTTTTGGTTATGTGACTTTTGGTAAATCACATTAACAGTCTGAAGTTCAGTTTCCTCATCTGTAAAGAGTGGAGACAAGAGAGCATTTGCCTCACCCTTTTTTGCAAGAACCGAATGAGATAATCCATTCAAGATCCTCAGCCCATTGTGTTACCCCAAATCTCAGTTGCCAAACTCTATCTTCTCTGTGTCATCCTTGAAAGGTATATTACGGACTCTCTCAAGAACCTGAAGACTAGGCAGAATGGGGATAATTCCCATTTTACAGATGAGGACACCTGAGGACAAGGACCTTCCATTAGTTCAGACAGCAAATAGATAGCAGAACAAGGTCCCTTGGGAGGAAGGCAGTCCAAAATTCTGAGCATCCAACTTAGGGTCACTGTGCGCCATCTACTGACCAAAGCAAGGAAGCGCCCAAGAAAGCACGCAGCCACCAGGAAGGTGGGTCCTCAGGAAGGACTCTAAGGCACAATTTTCATGTGTTGTCAATAATCAAATAGTACCATTCTCCTCCCACCCCTGCAATGGCCAAGATGTTCCAGATGACTGAAATTCAGGGTTCTGCCTTCCATGTTAATTGGTTTGAAAAACCAAGGTGTGACTGGATGTCCTGTGGCAACCACTGTACCAGACAATAAAAGTTTGACTTGTGTATGTGTCCCATGCCTGATGTATGAAGGGTGAATGAGGACTCCTGAGGCAGCTGGCAGCATTAGCTTCTTATTGGCCGATTTCTGGGGTAAGGGTGATGGGCAGAGAGGGAAGCCTCCTGGGTTCTACTTACCATGGTGGTTGATATGGTCTCCGTGGTGATGGAGGGAGTCGTTGTTAAGAACTCCTTGCCCCCGGGGGCAGCCCCATCAACCTGATGGCCAGAGGAGGAGCCATGTGAGAAACAGAGAGAGAGAGAGAGAGAGAGAGAGAGAGAGAGAGACAGAGACAGAGACAGAGACACAGAGACAAAGAGAGAGGGAAAAAGAACCAAAAACACCTTCAGCATCTGTCACCTGAGCTCACGGCATCCCCAGTTACAAAGTGACAGGATGTATGAGTGAACAAAAGCACTCGGGGTGGTGGTGATGTCCACACAGATGGAACTGTAGAGATGCCTTGTGGATCTTCCAGTTATTTCAATCATTTCATTTGACAAAGGAAGAAATATAGAAAGGCGGAAAATTCGACAAATTCCATCCAGATTTCAATGCCTGTATCCTTTGACTTAGCAATCCCATTGCTAAAAATTCATTCTTTGGATATAAAATTTGCCAGGAAAATTAAACAAGGGAGCTCACTGCAGCACTCCTCATTAACTGCAAGACTAAACAGCACTGCAAAATACATTAAAATACATTAGGATCCACTATTAAGTGGGACTAAGATGAGTAAGAGGGGATGCCCACACTTGTCAACAAAGACTGATCTTGAAGATACTTTTTAAGAAAAAAGGTAAGGTATGAAACGGAATGACTTCTTGTGTAAAACTGATAAATATCTAGAGATGTAAATGTATATGTTAGTGTATGCATTCATTTGTTTCTGAGGGGAATCTCAGAAAAATTTCTATTTTGTTCTGTTTGAATTTCATAATGGTGAAAAATTTGTGGTTGTGTTTTGATGTCAATAAGGATTGCTGGACTGTGGGGTTTGGGGCCATTTTTAGGGTTTTCTTTAAACTTTTTTTTTTAAATTTTTAAATAAATTCTTTTTTTTTTTTTTTAAAGATTTATTTATTTATTTATACAAGCGCTGGGTACAGTCAGAAGCACAGGAGGGTGAGAGAATTCACCAGAGCCAGAGAGGGGAGCAGAACAGGCAGAGGGACCGAAGTACACTGCTGAGGTGAGCAGCAGGCGAGGCAGGAGAGGTCTGCGCGCCATGTGGGACCCTCGCCGGCAGCCGGGGATCGAACCGGCGCTGCAGAGGCTGCGGGCAGCTTCGCAACCCAGTGCTTAATGGCTGTGACACCGGGGAGGCCCTCTTTACACTTTTCTTTACACTTCAAACAAAACAGGCAGGGAGGGGAAGCAGATTGCCTGAGGACACACAGCTTGTCACAACTAAAGCCTCATAAACCCCTATAAAAGTGAGAGAGAAACATTCTGGAAATGATAGAGTTGCCCACACTGTATTGATCTAAGTGTCACTTTAGTTCTTGAGACAGAGACTGGCCTCCAGTGCTGCAAGAACCAAGAAGGTGTCTCTCAGGCCCACAATCTCAATTTTCATAGTTTTAAAACCCGCCAAAGGAACTTAAGAAATGAACTGTAAGTGGCGTGCCTGTGTCTATTCAAGACTGCTTTCTCCAAGGTAAACTAAGTATGTTTCATCTTGCTAAGACACGTGATTTCTGGTCTTGCAATTTATTTGGTAGATGTTTTTACTTATTTTGTCAATCTGATGTGGAGCCTCCATGAATTAAAAAAATGAGTCAATGTGAACAATTCTTATGAAAGCTGAATTGGGATCTCCCCCTGAGCAGTCCCTGGGATACTTCAAGAAACCTCTCCAAGGTCAAACTATCTGAAAGCCATGTTCCTAATCTACTAGCCACTAGTCTTACAACTCTCCCAGGAGTGGGGACACAGGATCAACTCCATTTTACAGATGCGGAAGCTGAGGCTTTAAGAGGTATGCCCAGGACAGAAGCCCATTCTACTGCCTACCTCCAGAGCTCTGGAAGGAAAATAAAACTCAGAACAACAAGGTTAAAAGGTGGAGGGGGGGTCCAAAGGAACCAAGGTGGCAAGGGTGGGGTGACAGACTTGGCCAGTTGGCGCCCCGCACCCTAGAAGCCCAATACCTGTGCTCAGGATGCACAAGAAGACACAGGTTACCTGAGCTGTGTCCACAGCAGCGATTCTGGTCTGCAGTACAGCTTCTGGCTCAATCTTCTTCCTGATGGCCAGGCTACTGACAGTCATGGTTTCTGTCTTCACGGGCTGTAGGAGATGAGGAAGGACACTCCGTAACTCCAACCCCAGCAGACTCCTGCTTACAGGCAAATGGAGTAGGGTCAGCAGGTTATCTCCCACCCCTACAGCTGGCCAAATCTCCAGAGGGGTATGTAGGCCAGGGCCAAAGAAGCATGAAGAGATGCCATGGACAAAATCCCAGAGGACAGCCAGAACCATACTGGGGCCCAGACAGGCCTGCCAATGACCCTGCAACCACACAACCTTGGGGTGACTATATGCTGTTTTTGAGGCTATTGTATTCAATCAGTACACTCTGTGCCGAGTCCCACACAAAGATTTGCCCGATGAACATCATGTAACTGAATCCTGAATGAACTGATGTCTATGCCACACCTTCTCAGCTGCTCCATAGGAATTGCTCTTTTGAGCAGGAGACATACCTGGAGGCCAGGTGGGAGATGTAAACAAGTGAAGTGGACTTATTGAGGACTGGGGTAAAATGGAGAGGACATGGGGTGCCAGTCAGGTTTGGCCAACAGTAGCCATGGCCTCTGTGAGACGAGGTCATCTGATTTTTTTAATGATAGGGAAAAAAATCTCTGGATTTTATATTCAATGCCCTGATTTGATTTATTTTATTTTATTTTATTTTATTTTATTTTATTTTATTTTATTTTATTTTTGTAAGAACCAGGGCACAGGCCAGATGCGCGGGAGGATGAGAAGATTCACCAGAGATAGAGCAGGGAACAGAACAGGCAGACCGACCGAAATACACTGCTGAGGGGAGCAGCAGGCAAGACAGGAGAGGTCCACCACACCATGTGGGACTCTTGCTGGCTGGCCGGGATCGAACTGGCACTGTAGAGGCTGCAGACAGCTTCACAGTGTGGTGTTCAACTGCCTGTGCCACCAGGGAGGCCCTGTCCTGATTTTTTTTTTTTTTTTAAAGATTTATTTATTTATTTATTCATTTATTCATTCATTTATTTATTTATACAAGCACTGGGCACAGTCAGAAGCGCGGGAGGGTGAGAGAATCCACCAGAGCCAGAGCGGGGAGCAGAGCAGGCAGAAGGACCAAAGTACACTGCCGAGGGGAGCAGCGGGCGGCAGGAGAGGTCCGCGCGCCATGTGGGACCCTCTGCCGGTGGCCGGGGAAGAGCCGGGGATTGAACCGGCGCCGCAGAGGCTGCGGGCAGCCTCGCAACCCAGCGCTCAACCGCTGCGCCACCGGGGAGGCCCCCTGTCCTGATTTTTAGATCAAGGTCAAATACAACTGCTAGCAGATCTGGATTGGGGTCACCAGTTTACAATCTCTACTCCGGAAATTTCAAGTTAAATATTGGGTTCTTTTGAGTCCTCCACTGGGCCTCATTCATGGCTCTATACACAGCAGGTGTTGCCATCTGTGAGCTGAATGGATGAGTGAAAGCTAGCTCGTCATCTGGCTGGGAAGGTTTTGAGGGCGAAATCTTATAGATGTTTGTGACCCTGAGATCTAGCCATTCTTTCAATTAATCATATACTACCGCCTGGTGTAGGCAGGCATAAAGGGGCTGCCACTTGGTGGGAAGAGCAGATTGTCAGCCACCTACCTGACTACTTGGGATAACGCCAGGAGCAGAAGCAAATCAGAGCAAGGGGGCTATGGAGGAGGCAACTCCTCTGCCCTGGGTGGTTAGGAAGAGATACCTGCACACTTTCCTGGGACATGGCAGAGAAAGGAGTTTCCAGGGCAGAGAAAGGGAGAAACCTTTTACCCAGAGGGTACAGGTAGTGGATCCAGAGTGGATGAGCTTATATTTCAATGCCTGGAACATGGGGGAAAGAAGGATGTAGTGAGGCTGCAAGAGGTGAGGGAGCCAAGGAGGAATGTGACAAACACGTGCTACAGAAAGAGCCTCTGTAGAGGAAGGGCACAGAGCAGAGGCCCAGAGATGGCCTATCCCTGGGTCCCCCTGGGTGACAGCATTTCTTCTTCTCTAGAAGATTCCACAACCACCCCAAGACCCCAAGACTGAGTGGATTAAGACTGCTGTTCCTTCCCCAGGAAGCCCAGACCCTGAGAAGAGGAGCCCAGACAAGGATCAGGAACAACCACACGACTTTCATTCAGAGCTAGTGGCAGGAGCCCCCGCGAGTCCACGAGCACATGCTTTCTGCAGGTGCCATGCAACACAGGTGGGGAGAGAGGAGTCTAGTAAACCAGACTGCCCATCATCACTTGACTTCAGGCAAGTGATGGGGTCGCAGTGTTAAAATGCCAAGGAGAGCATGTTAAGGGTAAACTGAGATGGCAAACATGCAAGCACAGAACCATGCTGTTCTGTAGAGGGTTGGCCATGCAACACGAGACACAGCTTCAAGTGGAGGGACTCTGGGCTGCAGGCTGGTGGCTCAATCTTCTCACAGATGACCCAGGGCCCTTGGAACATGCAGTGCCCAGTGGGCCTAGGTCTTGAAGCTGTGCCACTGTACCTCAAACTGTGGCATATCCGGGGTGGAGCAGGCCCCTCGATCCAGGCTGTCCTCAATGCCCCCAGCATCATCATCCTGGCTGGGCACCCCCTTGTTGAGGTCCCGGGAGAACACTAGGCCCTCTGTTTCTGAGTCGCTTTTGTCCCGGTCGAGCTCAGGCAGGCTGCGGGAGAAGTCCTCAAAGGCGCTGCCGTGGTAGTCACCAATGACTGTGAAGTCGACCTCAGCCTCCAGGCTGGACGTGGAGCTGACTGTGATGCTGGAGCACTTCCGCTCAATGGCCAGGTGGTTGTCTTTCAGGAACACTGCATCCCTTTCCTGGTCCTGGTCTTCATCTCCAGTATCGCTTTCTGGGGCCTTGGGACGTGGCGGTTTGACTTTGTCTTCTGAGCCCTCCCTCAGCCCTGCTCTCTATGGCCAGATAAAATCAAAGAAATGGGGGTGTGGGGTGGGGAGAGAGACAAAGAAAGAAATCAAGATGGTGAATGACAGAAAAAATCTCAAGGCCACATTGATGTCCCAAATGGAAGAGCAGGTCAGAAAACAAAAAAGAGCCCCAGGAAAGGTTCCTGGACATCATAACAAGCTTTGAAAAACCCAGAACTTTTCAAGAGTGGGGACACTCCTTTCTGAGAGTCTCCCGCTGATGGCAAAAGCAGGTACAAAGCAAACATCCCGCCAGTTGATCCTGGACAGGAGGCCCCATCCAAGGTTTGGATCTGGGAGCTTATCAGAAGCAGCTTTGGGTACAAGGCAGGGATGGGAGCCTGGACCCCAGGCCCATCCGTGCAGGTGGCATGGAGAGACAGAAGTAAGAGGGAGAGATTCAGGGAAACCCGGGGTGGGCGGCGGGGGGAGGCAGAGAGGCTGGAACCAAGAGCGTTGAGGAACAAAAAGGAAGCCAACAGTTTGTCAATTCCACTGAGTCTCCATGGATGGGTTGGCATCATCTAGAGGGAGGAACAATATGGGGTAATTCCTGGCAGCTGGGTGCTCATCGGGTTCTACCCGGAGCTCCACAAGTGGGCCAGCAGGCCGCAGAGTGAAGGTTCTGGTCCCATCAGTGTAATTGACAACAGCAGGCCAAGGAAATGCCGGAGGGGAACCAGCAACTCTTGTCCGACATACATACCTCTCAACTGGCCTGTCAGGGATTAAACACCACAAGTATATTTTTGGCTGGTTCATGACATTCTTTTTAAAGACCAATATAACACCCACCAAATATTTGTAAAGTACTTGGCTTCAGGTTCTAGAAATCCAACAAGCACAGAGATTCACTTGCTAGCCAGTTTCTGGAGGGTTGAGAGGTGTGAGGACACACATTCCAGACAAGCCAGAGTTGAGCTGCCACAAGAGGCACTGCCAGGGTGGGTGGGACTCAAAGGCAGTGATGCACCCTGCCAAGTGAAGATGACCGGGTCATCGGAGCACAGGGGGCTGCAGAGACCTGAGGGCCCAACGGGCTGGCGAGTTTCAGGCGCCCCCCTTTCCCAGGGGGGTTCACTCCTAAGCTGGTGATGCGCTTCTCTCCCCTGACCGCGTCTCCGGATTTGTTCTGGATCAGAGAAGACAGTTAGTCTTAAGGAGGCAGAAGGAAACTTGGCACTGGGACTGAGAGGGAACCAGAAGAGGAGGAGAGAAACCTTTGAACAGCCTCTTTCAGCCTCCCCAAGGCAGGAGAACCAGGGAAGGGAAAGGATGGAGGAAGACGGCTGGACAAGCCAAGCAAAACAGGTAGGAACCCAGCAGGTGGTGGCAGCAAGGCAAAGCAAGTGTGTAGTTGGCTGGTGATGGTGCCACCTTCTCCACTGGGGCTGAGTGATACTCTGGGCACCAGTCACACCAGAAGCCGAGGGTCTTTGTGGCTAAACTAACATAGGCCAAGCAGATGAATACGTCATTCCGCTTGGGTTACACTTGGGCCCGTTTAGGAAAAAGAACTCACAGGGATGGACAAGCAGCCTCTGAGTGCAATGATGACGAGGGGCCACTGAAACATGCTTCTAAAGAGCTACGCGGCATGCGGTCAGCTCCCCAGACTGGGGTCAGTGGTGGGGGGTAGGGGCTCACGTGGCCAATTCCCCCAGTTGCTTCCTCCAGTGTAGTTTCACAGCCTGAATCAGGGGACACAAGGTCGAGTTCCAGGCATCCTTCCTGGTGGGAGGTAGTAGAGATGCCCTCCCTGAAGTGTCTGGTAGCCGGTGATATCACTGAGGACTGTGTGACTTGGGAGCCGGTGAAGTCTCCTGGGGGCTGGAGCTGGACGAAGCCCAGGTCTAAGAGTTTATTCCGCTGTTGCTCTACCTGCCCTGGGAAGGCCTCAGAAGACAACTCATCTGGAAGGGCCCTGGTTTCACCCTGAATCGCTGGGTGAGTTTCAGTTCCATGGGTCTCAAAGATCCGAATTTTGTTGGCCACTGAGGTTTTGCTAATGTCTTCCAGAGATCCCTGTTGGCCCCCAGACTGGAAAGAGGTCATTTCCTTTCTTTTCCCAGAAGGGAACACCAACTCCAGGGATCCAGCCCCCCCGACTTCTTCAGGAACAAGTCTGGGCTTTCTGCTGGTGACGGGAGGTGCCCTGTGCCCACCTCCATCTGGGGTCACAACCGGTCCTAATCGGTCCTTGGGGTCCAAGTGCTCTTTAGAAGGATGGGCATGTTTGAGAAACACAGGGGACTTTCCTCTGAAGGGCATCCCAAGCTGTAAAGGCTCCCCTGACCCACAAGGGGCTGGGCTTGGAGAAGCATCCTCTGGAACCACCTGAAGCATAAAAGGAGCAGGGGAGGTTGAGAGGGGGGTGATGAACTCCATCTGAAGAAATGCTGAAGTCTTGCTGTCCTCCAACACAGGCTCTCCTGTTTGGATGCGAACAGGTCCCCTCTCCTGGGGCAGGAAGTTGCCTCTGTCCTGTCTGGTTGGCTTCCTGCCATCGTTAGAAGGGATGGCCCATGGAAGGGTGCAGGTCTGCAGGTCTGGATGTGTGTTCCCTCCTCTATGAGAAAATGAGTGGTTTTTCCATTCTGCTGGGGGACTCTTCTCAGCCTTTCCCATCAAATCCCCACTCCAGGGGACCTCTTCCCCTGCAGTTCCAGCAGATGCTGGGAGAGAATTCTCTCCCTCCATCCCATGCTGGGCTTCTTTGCATTCCTCAGCAAATGTCTGCACTGAAGAAAGTCCCTCCCCAAGACTTTCCACAAAGGCCTCCTGAGCATCCAGTCTTCCTTGGTCCCTGGGGGGCCCTGCTCCTTTCTCTGAGGAAGCTGGACAGGCTTCATCTTCATGCTTGCTTCTGTTGGAAGTTGCAGCAGAGCTCTGAGGGTCTGAGGCATTCAGCCAAGAGCTCTCTGCTAGCTCCCTGGAGAGTTCCAGTCTGACCTCATCTCCAGGGGCAGCAGCGAGGTACTCTTCTCTCTCCTGCAGCAGCAGAGTCAGGACTTGGCCTTCAGAATCTTTCTCTCCATGGTTTAAATAGAAGCTCCTCTCTGCAAAGGAAGTATCGGTTTCATCACTGGAGTCGGCTCTGGCTTCCTCTTGGGCTGGGTCCAGCAGAAATGACTGGAGTCCTCTCTTGTCAGAGGTTGAAGAGGGGAGATCTAACTCTGCTGGCCTGGTCCCTGGGGCAGTAGGTCTTCCCCAAGTCTGGAACTCCTCCAGCTCCTTCCTTCGCTCTGTCTCCTCCATTTGACCCCCTGAGACTTGGCGCTTCCTGATGGTTGCCTGTCCAGTACCTATCCTGAACTGGGAGCCCTCTTGGAGCTTTTCTGTCAGCTTGTGGCCTGCAGCTAGAGAAGCCTCCCCTGGACCTCCTCTGACCCAAGGGTCTTCTTCCCACATTGACTCAAAGTCTTCAGGACTAGCAATCATTCTTCCTCGTTGCTGGGCATTTGCTCTTCCGGCTCTGACCATTTCTTCTGTGGCCACTTCAACTTTGAACTTGTCCACTAGGATGTCCACTTTGGTGAGTCTGCCATCAGCCAGGATATCTGTCAGGCCTGCCTCACTTTCTTCCTGCTGCGTGGAGGCCACTTTTAGCAGACCAAGTTCTTCTGGCCTAATGTACTCTCTTTCTATAAATACCCAATGCTCTGAACCCTGTGTTTCAATTGGAGCAAGAAGAGTTAACATGAAATATCAGCTACCTATAGAACAGGTCACCTTTTCCCTCCACAAGCAGGGACTTATCTACCAAGTGGCCAAAATGTTCCCAGGACTGGATGGGGAGCAGAAGGCATGAAAATGCCCATCAGCTTCATCAAGGCTACACTTCCCATTGAGATACCCAATGCATTATTTACCAGTTCCCCTCAACCACCACCCCAATGTGGTTACATGGGATGGGGGCTCATGCCCTTCTCTGTTAACTATGGTAAGTGGGGAAATGGAGATCCATGGATGGGCTTGCACTTCCTCTTCCTCTGTTAATAACTGTCTGTCAGACCAAGTAGCTATGCCCCATGGAATCTTTCAAGAGTGGAGCCAAAAGAACTCTTAAAACATCTTCCAGTGCAATCCCCTCATTGTACAAGTGGGGAAACTGAGGCCTAAAATAAGCCAGTGACTTACGCAATATCATGATTAATTGATGGCAGAGTCAGAACAAGGATGCCTGATTTTTTGATGCCTGAGATCCTTGCTCACTTTCCTCATTACCTACAGAATATGGGTCCCAACTGTGATCTAATGTCAAGTTGAAAGGAAGTACTAAACCCAGTTCCATAAGCCACAGCCTAAAGTCTGGTCTTTCTGTAAAAGTTTCTAGGATGGAAAGAGATTAGAAAGAAAAATACCAAATAGCATTCTCTAGAGATTAGTGCCAGTCATCCCACAGCTTGAGCTTTGTGGGGTTCATTCCTAAAGATACCAAGGCCTATCCTTGGAGAATTCTAACAATATTCACAGAAAGATGAAAAGGACTAATCAGAGCACATCATAGAAGGAAAAAAATCTAAAGATCCAAGCATTGTGATCAGTCCAAAGCCCCAGAGGGGTCTCAGCCCTCTACTTCCTCTTAGGAGGGAATAATGGACTTCTTGAGTTAACAAAGCAAGGTGGCCAATGGAATTTTAATCTTCTTATGGTCACAGAACACTTTCTTCACAAAATCTTCATCGAAGTCCAACATGTAATAGCCTGGACTGCTCTAGTGCCCTGGGGAACATGCCTCCTTGGAAATCACCACTCTGACTCTAGCCCCTCATGGTACAAATATGGAAACTGAGGGCTGGAGAAGATCAGCACCTTGCCCAAGCTCAGAAATTAAGTTAGTGGCAAGAGCAAGTCTAGAACCCAGTCTCCACAGTAAGATGTGCTGAAGACGGCTCCTGACAAGAGGGGGAATATTGCTATGATTTTGGACTCTGTCTCAGGGCATGACTTGATGAGGAGTCTGTTGGGCCCATTAAGATCTG